TCTTTATAGCCTAATTTTTCACTTCATTGCTTCTTGTTTATGGTAAATCTAAAATAATTCGTTTCGGAAAATTTTACAACATGTGATGTTGTAAGTAAAATTTTAGATCTAATTAATTAAAAATGCCTTATTTTACAGAATAATTAATTTTGGAGCAAATTGAAGAAGAATTAAATAAATAATTAATTCTCTCCACTTGACCAAAAAATTAATAGTTTTAAAAATTAATCAACTTTTATCTCCACGTCTTTTATGATTTTGGTAATTTGAAATGGATTTGAATAATATATGTGTTGGCGACGATGGAACTTTTGTTCATTGTGCGAAAAGCGGGGCTTAATCTGGCGGGCCCAGGCTTCCCTTGAAAGTCTGAAACAAACAAACAAACAAAGTCTGGAATTGCGCGCTGCGTGCGAATTCCTGCGCCGCTTCCAACAATCGAATCGACATAGTTGCCGGCGAGAAATGCGTCGCGTTTTGTCTCTTGCTCGCATCCCAACGATTTATATTATTTTACTCATCTCGCAAACACACACAGGTCTATCGACCGCGCCGACTGCTGCGCCGCCTAACTCTAAAATGTCACAAAAAATTCAAATTTTAAGAAGAGAGAAAAATTTACAAATGAAACTAACAGACATTATATCAATCTTTTATAAGTTCTTTGCGACTTTTTAAATTAAACAGATTACTTGGATACGGAAATATTTAAAAAAAGTTTTAAAAATGTGAAGTGATTTTTCTTTTAATACAATTTGAAAACCGAAAACGTAAGAAAGAAAATTGATTTCGTCTCAAAATATTTCTGGGTATTCTGAATGATTTTACACTCTTGTAAGAGAAGAATGTTGAAAAGAATCAATAATAAGGTGTGGCATTAATCCTAGAAGTGGTTTACAAGTTTGTATATAAAAGTCGCAAAAAATATGTAAATGCCGAAAAATTGATCACAACAATTCAAGATTGCAGAAGAACGCTTCCTTTTGGGAGCAAAGTTTTTTCGTTTGGCGAGGACGGGAGAGAATCAACAGGCTTGAGCGGCAGCACCGAGTGGAAAGAAAAGTGTGGCCAGTCGTTGGCTGCGGCGGCGGCGTTATCTTCTTTAACACAAGAGAAGAGATAAGCGCGAGCGAGACACATCTCGGCGCTGCTGCGAATTGCGTTGCGCCGCCGCAGCCAGAGCGGACAAACAATTCATTTCATTTATCCGACGTTTCCTTTGTACACGGGGGATTAAAATTTATCTTGAACATGCGGAACTCGTTTCAAAACTTGCACAAAATTAATTGCGAAAAAAATGCAGTTGGACAATTAAACAGGTTAAAAAAAAATTAAAATTAAAAAACTGTTGAAAATTGATATAAAGTGAGGCCACGGTAATTGACGCGAATACAATTTACAGAGGGGGTGGACTTTTCCATGGGGGTTGATGAGGGGTGTGTCGAATGTCAATTTCGGCGTGGAAATCGATTCAGCCACTTTCGAAAACACAGCAGAGTTGAAGGAAGGTCTGGAAGAGCGTCTCTCTCACAAGCCCTTATCAGTTCTCCGTCCAGTTTTGAATTTCACACAAGACCAGAGAATGGTAAGGAAGCGTAAGAGGCACAAAAATTCGATCCAAAGAGCTGAAAATCGCAAATATTTATGAAAGAACGGCCGCGCCGCACGGATCGATGCGAAGAAAGAACTGAAGAAAGAGAGAGCGTGGACGAGGAGATCGGCATGGGAAAAATAATAAAAGCAGCCAAAGCCCCTCGCTTGCTCTTAACAAAAAAAAAAAAAAAAGCAGCAGCCACATGTGTGCAGCTCTATTGAAAAACGGTCTTTTCTTTCTTTCTTCTCCTCCCCATCCGTGTCTGGGGTCCACATGCACGCGCTACACAAAACGCGAGGACGAAAAAACAGAGAGCTCGGGGGCAACTCGGGGCCCCCGACGAACACCTACCCGAAGATGGAGGCGCCCCGCCTAGGGCGTCGCTGGGGCGCTTCGTCCACGTCGTCCCAGCCCTCTGCCCCCGGCCTGCCCCCGGGGGCGCCCGAGACCCCGGCCGGGGCGGACGGGAGGCGGGCGGGCGCGACCGAGCCGGCGGCCGCTGAGAAAATCGTTAATATTCTGCCTAAAATGGAGGAGCTGCTGTGTAATCGTGACGTTGCGTTCGGGAAGTAAGGGAGGCGCACCACGGCCGGAAGCTTCGGATTCTGCGCGGCCAAATTTTGAATGTACCGTACGATCGAGAGCAGAAAGGGAGAGAGAGACACACGCACGCGCCACCACAGCCGAACAAAATTATATTTAACAAAATATTAAAATTTTCAGCGGAAAACGTTTTTTTTTTTTTTTAATTTTCTCAAATTTTACAATTTTATATTCAAGTTGCAGAGATTTATTGTTTTGAATCAAAATTAAATTCGTATTTAAAATTTGAAATAATTTTAACAAAATTTCAGTGAGAAACTCGAGTTTATATATTTGAAAGGTCTGAAAGGTTTCTCCTGAATTGGGCGGAAGTAGGCAAGCCGGCGCGCACGCCTCCCGAGGGGGTTGCCTGATTCCTCGTTTCCCAGGAGCAAACCTACTCTCCTTTCTTTTTCTTCTCCTAATGCACGTGCACGTGTCGCGCATTTTGATTAAGGTCGAAAATAAAAACACGGTCCGTTTTAAAAATTTAGTGTTTCGCCGGCGTGTGTCGGACGTATAATAATTTATGGACTGCGCCAAAGCAGTAAAACGTGCGTGCGCTCTGTGTGTGTATAGGTATGTACTCTTGTTTTCTGCACAAATAACACACACACACACCTGAGCAAAATAAAAAAACGCAGACGTGCGCAAAAAAGAAAAAAAGGGGTTGTATTCAGAAACATTCAGCAAAAAGGGGAAAGTGATTAATTTTGAACAGTCATTTGTGCTTATTTTATAAAAAAAGCGGAAATAAAATTGTCTGGTAGATTAAATGGAGATTAATTTCCAAAATTTGAATTAATGGCTTCATTATTTCCATAATACAAAAAAAACACTGTTATAATGAAATAAATTTCAGAAACATTTTAGTGGTTAATTTTCTACTTGTGCTTATCGGTTGAGATAAAATAATGAAGAGGAAAAGGAAATCCGAGGGAGGAAGTTGATAAATTTGGTGCCACAATAATGACGAAAAGCTTGTGCTCTTTGGTTTAAAATGTGAGAAAAAAAATACCACTTAAAAGCAGATTTAATTATCTTACATACATACCACATTTTGTCCGATTCATTTCAACTTTTCTCGTCTCAATACTTTTTCAATCCTTATTTCCTTTCATGAATATTCCATCCTCTTACTAATTTCAACGCATTTCCTCCAAATTTCCATTTCACAGTTTCTGGCCTTCTCGGTTTTCCTTGCACCTGAAATCAATAAAATAAAAATTAATTTCCATGCTAAAATCATTATTTCAGAATGGAGAGAGACAGAGATCAGGTCGATGACCTCGTGTGATTTTCGCGGACCGAAGCGCATTCCAGAGTGGCGTGTGTGCGAGAGAATGAATGGGAGAGCGACGACGGCTCGCGTTTCGTCGCCGGAAGTGCGAATTGGCAGAATTAAAAGAAAGAAAAAACTGCAACAAGTTCGCGTGCAAGTCGGGCCGCGGCTGCAAATGAAGATGGTCGCCGACGTGAATGTGCTAGGGTGTGAAAATCGATCGCGCGTTCGGGGGATGGAGAGAGATTCGGGCCTTTCTCTTTCTCTCTCACTCTCGTTTTTCCACTCACGTGTGTTCCAACCCAAGTCGGCTTCGTGTCGGCCTCTCTCTCACTCTGCTCAATTTCGGGGCAAATCGGGCCGAATTGGAAAAATCAATCGCGGGGTCGGTCGGCGGAGGGCGAGCAGGGTGGTGGCCGCCGCCCGTGTCGGTGTCATTTGCTCCGCCGCCGAGATGTGCAGGCCCCTTTTATAGAGCGGGCGCCCGTTGCCATGGCGACTCGCGCATGACCCTCCATCTCGGCCCGAATTCATCGTTCTCCTGTGGATATGCCAGCCAGCCAGCGAGGGATGCTAATGCCCCCCTCACACACACACACACACACACACCGTGTACAACTCGCGCGCCGTGATCAAAACGAGCGGACGTAATTCCACCGCACATATACGCCGGCCATCCTAATCAAATAGAAAAATTGACACGAAGAAGAAACTGTCAATAAAATGTTGGGTTTCATCAATTCTGCACCGCTGTCTGTATTTCTCTAAATTTTGTCAAATATATTTGCTTTTAAAATGAAAAAAAAATCGACTCGAAAGATTTTCTTCCATTATTTATGGGGATTAATCTAGTATTTTGAGATTTTGTGAAAATTTTAATTTTACTTTGGACCAAAGCTGTTTATGAACATTTTTAATCAATAATGAGCGTGAGTTTTATTTATTAATACAAATTAATTGTTGAATTTTTTCAACACCAAAAACAATAAAACTATTAATTTAATACATTGAATTTTTTATTGAACAAGCAATAGATCTTTCCTCTATAAAACGAATATTATTTTTAATTCCAATTAACAAACTTCCGGTGCGTTCGTAACAAGTGGTTTTTCTGCTTATCTCGTTTTTTTAAAATTGAAATTCAACATTCTCCAAACAAAAACTCATTTAAGCGTGATAGAATTTGTGGAAAAGTGTGTGACGTTTTGCCGAACTCTTTGCTGACGTCGCTCTCCCCATATCATTTAATGTAGTTTTCGCAGAAAGCAGGTATAATATGGTTCCACCCGTGAGCGTAGCACGAAAAAATCAATATTCCTCTGTGTGCATGTGTTTCCTACTGTTTGTTCCTTCGCCGCTAGTGTTTTCCAACCTCCAAGCTCCGCAATTATTTATTTCTCTTGTGCAAAACTGAAAATTCATTCCGAAACGTGCAGTTTGAATTAATTAAATTCGTTATTTTATTTCCATACCTTCAAATAAATTCAAAACTCTTTAAATTTTTTGGGTAAAAGTGTGCGAAATAAAACTTCAGCGTTAGCATTTTCTTTTTTAGGAATAGCGCATTAAAATTCATTGATTGGCATTCATAGCAAACAAACAAAGAAGCATCATAAGTTCAATTCATTGTATAAGTCGGTTGAAAATTTTAGTTGCCTTGATACAAGAATATATGTTATTATTTAATTGTTTTTATTAAGCTTAATTACCGTAGACGTAGTAATAATAATAATATAAATACTGCGACGCTTATCATCTCAGGAATATAATTAAAAAGCAGTGCTAAAATCCGCTCTCTTTCACAATATGACTTGATCCAATAATTTACTCTCGTTAAACACGGAAATGCCTGCGCGGGTAAGAGTTGAAAAGAATTGTATATAGATTAAAGAGTGTGTGTAGAATAATAATAATAAACCTTGTTTCCCCCAACCACAACAACCTCTCTTTTTACACAGTGCTCTACTCGTTCTTTCTTTCATATATAAAATTACACAGCAAGTCTTAATGGGTCTCAAGTGAAAAACGGGTTGGGCACATTGTTCGAGGGGGCCGGCTTCGGGAAGGAGTTGTTGACCGGCGCCCAAGGGTCGTTCGGTTGACCCCCCGTCTGCTGGATCATCTGGTTCAGGCTGGGCTTGGGCTGGGTTGCGGGAGACGCTGCGGCAAACGGGTTCACAGGGGCAGCTAAACATTCAATTCAAATTAGAAATTGCAATTTCTTACAAAGATAAAATATTGAGAAAAAATTCAATTATTTTTAATTATTAAAACGCTAATTCTAAAATAAATTTTCACTAAAACTAATTTGCACCTTGGTTGGATTGCTTGGCGGGCACCAGGTTGTCCAAATTGACGAGCGCAAAGTTTTCACCCAAAAACGATTGAGGCAGTTTGGCCGACGACGCGTTCCCCGTCGGCGAACTCGGCAGGGTGTCCACCAGGTTTTGCACTTGGAAAGGATCTGCTGCTTTGAAATCGCAAATCAGAACTCAATTTTGAATAAAGGAGATTAAAATACCATTATTGTTCTTGAGGAAATCAAAACTAGTGTCATTATTGCTGAGCAGCTGGTTAGAAGTCGAAGGCGACCACGGGTTGGCGTTCGAAGCAGCCGGGTTGCTCGTCTGCCATCCATCTGCAAGCACTTCACCAATTTACAATTAATACAAGTTTTTTGTTTCATTGGAAATTAATTCATGTTAATTGATCACAAAATTTATCAGTATCAAAATCGTTTTTATTCTTAAAATTCACCAAAAAATTTGAAAGCTGTGATTTTTTTTTCACTCGCGTAATTTTAAGATTGTGATGTTTTATGCAGAAATAGATCAATTCCAAGTGCTCAACAAATTTTTTTCAAACAATTTTGCGGCGACTCCCAATTTCCTTGTGCTAAATCTTTAGCCACTTTATCAAGGAAAATGATGGTGGGTCACATTTATCAGGTACTTAAAATGCAATTAAGAATTTTATAATGAAAATGTCTCAAAAATTAACGCCATGACCTCCGATTTTGGTAAAAATTGTCAGTTTAAGTTTTAAGTAATGATTTTGTGATATTGACCTGTTAAAATCCTTTTTAATTTAAAAACTGTTTCATAATGATACACCCTAATGAATATCTTTTGTTTGGAGGACTTAACTGCCGTGTGAAGGTTTCATCAAATTTAATTGGCAATACTTCTTTACTAAAAAACGTGATCCAAAATTGCTGGACAGAAATTTAGGAATACATTTAAAAAAATTATGTTTTAAAACGTTTCATTTAATTTACATTCTTAAAAGCAAGGATTTAATTGTTCAAAGTTTTCTATTTTCATGTTCGAAAGATTTACTTTTCTTACCAGAAGTGTTCCAGGGGTCATTCAGTGGAAGTGGCGGCGAGGTCACAGACCACGGATCAGACTTCTGCAAACGTCATGAATTTAGAATTTTCCAATTGTTAGAGGTAGACAAAAGTTTGCTGCGTACCTGTGAAGGCCTTTTTGCAGTGTCGAAGGTGAGGTCGAAAGTGTCTGCAGTGGGTTCAGGACTGATGTCCAGCAGGTCAAGCATGTGGCTCTGATGCGTGTTGGAACTGGAGTGGAAATGCAAACATGAGTTTTCATTCTCTGTGAAATTCGAATTGACTTGCGAGGGTGAGGTGGGCCAGGCGTTGGCATTGGAGGCCTCGTCGCCCTTGCACTCCTCCTGGCTCTGCGAGATGGCCAGCTGGAGGCGGACGTCGTCGCTGCGCTTCTTCTGCTCCTCCTGGTCGGCCTCTTCTCTCGACATGGCCAGCGCCAGTTGCAGCTGCAGCTCCTCCTCCCCGATGGTCTGCGGACGCGCATTTTCCAGTTCCGATGACACCGACGAGTGCATCCTACTGCGACCTTCAACTTTCAACAGTTACAATTTTGCCTCTAAAGTAAAATAAAAAATGCAATTTACCTTTGTCCTCGGCACCTTGAGCCTGCGGAAATTCACAATTAGGTTAAAAATACAGACTTGGAAATTTTTATTGAAGGACGGATCAACTACGGTTAGTCCAGGAAAGGAAACCTTGAAAGTTGTAGAACGTTTTTTTTACCATTGGTTTGAGGACAATTTCCTTAAACATTTCCTTTTTGAGATAAAATTAAGATTAAAAATTAACCAAAAAATTCTAAATAACTTAAAATTTAATTTAATTTGATACTTTTATTAACAAAAATTATTCGAGTAGAATAGTTTAAAAAAGCTCCATCAAATTTCAATTAAAGAATCTCTTGAAATTTATACAAAAATAAAGAATATTTCTTTCCAATGAAAACACAAAAAGAGATACAAAAAATCATCTACAATTTTCAGAAAATATATTTCCTTTCCAAGACTTGAGATACGTGGACTGAGAAGCATTACAAGAGTTTACTCAAATTACAAAGCCGAACGTTTTGCGCAGTGTCTTTTGAACAATAATTATCCCCACTGACTAAATAATGAAAAAATCTACAGAAACTGAAGCAACATATTGGCCTAGTACGAATCACACAAGTGTCCATACTTACAGGACTATGGCCTGACGGGCTTTCCAGAAATTCCTGGAAGGCATGGATTAGAAAAACTTCACCAACTAATTTTCACTTTTGTATATAAAAAAATTAGACACCCGAAACGGACGAAAACAACATTTGTGTGGATAGACAAGGGACAAACTTTGAAAGCAACACTTACGACATCACTGCTGAAGCTATTTTGGGCCTGAGCAAACCGCTCCTTGGCCTTGAGCGCCCTGACCCTTTCGTTTTTCAGCTTCTCATCGTCCTTGAGCAGCGACACCAGCTGCTTGGCCTTTTCCCGGACGTTCAGACCCTGGTCTCGGAAGTCCTCCACGTACTGGAAGTCTCGAAGGGTCTGGATGGCAAAAATGTTCTCCTTGCATTGCATGGCCACCTGAGAAAAAAAAACGCTTATTTAGTTTCTTTCGGAGAATATCAATTTCCAGCATCAATGGATTAGTTTTGAAATTAAAAATTGGAACTAAGTTCAAGATTGAAAAATGGCTAATTTTTAATTTCGGAAATTGCACCTTTTCGGAGCCCGTCTTGATGAGGTACTCGAGGAGCACCAAGGCTTTGTAGACGTGCCGCCAGTTCTTGCCATGGTCGTTTAGTCTCTTCCAAATCATCTGCATGATTTCGGTGAAGGCAACCACGTTGTAGGTCAGGTCTGCGATTTCAGACATGATCGTTGACGACGGACCCCACGGGTCATTGCTCGTCGCTTCTCGAACTTTGACCTGTGGAAAGAGGAAAACGTTCAGAATTTTGGTATAAAATTAATCAAAAAAATCAGAAAATAAAAAAGTTATAAATTTAAAAAATTGAAATATAATTGAAATTTCGAGTATGGATTTTTGATAAGGCGAGGTCGGTGCGCCCGACAACAAGCAGCGCCACTTGATGCAAATTGCGGCTAAGTGTGGTGCTCTTATCACAATTAACCTTCGAAACCAACCTGGGCGTCCGAGTAGTTGTGGGCCAAGTTCTTGACCGTCCGTCGAATGCCGGCCACGTTCACCTGGATGTCTGCTGCTTTCTTGCTCGCCATCTGCAGCCAAAAAACAAATGAAATTTGAGCAAATTAAAAAAAAAAACCATAGCAAGGATTGCACAATGCTCTTGGCCAACGCCTAGTCAATTTTTTGAATGCACTTCATTTTAATTTTCTTGTGGTAAACTTTTTTATTAGAATTTGTGAATCAAAGAATGAGAGGAGGAAAAACGTGACTAAAAAAAGAGTTGTGATGAAAGTTGGAAATCCATGACGTGCGTGTTTTTCCTGATAAGCAGAGATGAGGATATTGAAATCAAATAAGTACACATCACAGGAAATGGAGAAAAACTAAATTTGCACCAAGATGATGAATGAAATTTAATTTTGATCTAATTAGCTGCATTTTTTTTTGGAAAATTTAAAGAAATTCTTTTCATATTTGTTGAAAGAATTTCTTGCGAAGAGAATTGAATACAAAAATCAATATTGGATTAAATTTGATTATTTATATCAAATTTATTCTCCGTGTGTTTGCGTGATTGAGACTAATTTGGGCCCATAATCGATAAATTGCGCCTCACAGGTGCGTTTAGCTCTGCACCTTGGCAGGGACAATGTCAATGACACACACACACAAACGTCTGTCGGTTTGCAAATAAGCGAATCGAAAAATAAACAAACTGATTCGGCTGACGCACTCTCCGCGCCCTCGCAAAAGCAGGCAGACTTTCCGATTTCCTCGCAACCTGAGCAGCAAAGCAAAATTAATAAATGAGATTATTGTTGGGTTCGCACGCAATTTGGTCGCGGGGCTTTGATCGATTGCGAGTGACGTTCCGCGGCTTAGGCTAATTTAATTACGCGCCTTACATGGCCTATTTGTCTGTCAAGGTTTCGCCCGACACACTTGCAAAAGCAGCGGCAAACTCTGGAGGTCACAGTGACCTCGGGTGCGCCGACGGCCCGCCGGGGTCTGACCCCGAACTGGCCGATTCGCGACGAAACGGAAATTAAGTGGAGCAGAGAAGAGATGTTTTTGGGTTAGAGAGAGAAATCTAGTCTCTATTTGGTTTTTTGGCGAGAATAAAAATATCGTGGATCTCGGGGCGGCGCTTTTTTACCTCGCTGCGGCGGGCGGAGGTCGAAGGTCGGTCTGCGGAGGTCAGCGGCGGAGAGTAAGGGCGCTCGAGAGGAAAAGCGAGTGGCAATAATTAGTCATCGGTCCTGCGAACCCAACCGCAGTGTTGCTTTGTTGGTTGCTTTCGTTCGTTCTCGTCTGGCAAGTGCTGCAAAGGACCTGCTGTGCGGAGCTGCCACTCAGCCTCGCCTCGACCAATCACGGCGCGCGCCTCGGCCAAAGGGTTGGGCCGCCGCACCTCCTTGCACTTCCTTGCTCCTCTCGCTACTACCCACCGAGACACGGCGACGCCGCCGCTGCGACGGGTGGAGGGGGAAACGTGGCGCGAAAACGAAACGCGGCGGGAAAGATACATAGGCTCTTACCATTCTTACAAGCTGTGATAAAACTTCTATTATCCTTTGGTACCCCAGAAAGGCTATTAATTTTTGCCAAATTTCCCGTGTTTAATTTTGCCATTTGAACTCGACGTAGAAATTGAAAGTAGACTAAATACATACACAGCAGACGCTTTTATCGTCTACTTTCCGCTACTTTCAATCATATTTTTGTTTGTTTTATTTAATGGAAAATATCAAACATTGTGAAATTGGGTAACTTTTGATAGCCATTCCAAAACACCCAAACCAACTTTCATCAAAATCGGGGTGTCTCATCTCGATACCATTTAATTGTTGGTGTCCTGGAAAATTCATGCCAGTCTGAAATTTTCACCCTCTGTTGGGGGTGCAATGATACACATTTTCTGAGATTTCCTTAGGATTTCCCCTGTCGCTACCCTGTTTTCTAGTTAAAAACAGAACCTTTGAAAGGTGGCGTATTTTTATTTTGTCTAGTAATTTTCCTATATCTTGTACAAACATGAGACCAACGCTAATGGATGAGGGCTAATGGATGCTCAAAATTCACTAAATAAATTTCAAATGAAAACGGTGCTAATGTAGCATAAAAAACTAAAAGTGCAAAATACTCAGTGAAATAAGTTGTTGTTGGCGGAATTGAATTTTTGGTCCGCGAGTCCGAAAATAGCGGTGCGCGGCGCGTGCTCAGTGGGACCGACCGGGCCGTGGGGGTAGACGAGGCAGCCAAGTCAGTCAGTCGGTCCGAGCGCATCGTCGGGCCAGCATGTCGAGCCACGCGACCTCGGTGGCGGCCACGGCCTCGGCGCACTCGCACCGCAGCGCCGGCGGCCACAAGCACCGCTCCAAGTCGAGCACGCGGCCGCAGGACCTGGAAAAGCCCAAGAAGAAGCTGCTGCACAAAAGCAGCAACTCGCTCGTCTCCATCCCCAACACCATCAAACTCTCCATGCTCAACTCCGGCCTCATCTCCATAAGTGAGTCCGACGACTATGAATTCCTTCACTAATAAATTCTAAATTGACCAACGTTTAAAATGAAATGCGGAGAGCAAAATTAATTCATATTATTTGAAGGGATGCAAAATAAAATGAGATTATTAGAGAGGAGAGAAGAAAACTTGGTGAAAATAACAAAATTCAATTTTTTTTTTGTCGTGATCTCTTTTTAACGTTATATAATTTGCAAAAATTTGTGCTCACAGAATGCCAGGAGAAAACACTTCATTTTATCATCAATTGATACTAAAATGGCCAAATTGAACAATAGAAATAATTAAATTTTCAAAAGTGAATACTTGGAAAATACTTTTACAAATAATTCAAAAATCAAGTATTACGAAAATTTATTAGAAGAGAAATGGAATTTTTGAAAAACGTGTCTTAAAGGTAATTTAAGAAGTATAAATTCAACTGATTAGTTTATATCTGGAGACTAAATTTCCAAATTGGATTTTGCTATTTTTCATATTAATTTTAGTTTTCATTTGATAAATTTTAAATTTAAGTAACTGAAAACTTGCAATAAACAGGCATGTTAAAATGACAATTAGAAACCATTTGAACAGATGAAAAAACTTCATTTATATCCACATTAGGTCCACATCAGGAAATAAATAAAAAAAGCAGGGGGGAAATTTGTGAAATTCCTATATTTTTAGGTGTCAATTGATTGCAATCAGGCCCATAATGTGTTTTGCAGTTTGCAGTTTAGCAAAAATCTGTATTTTAATTCTTAAAAATGTTGAAAAACGTTCAATGAATTAAAAATTGAAGACAGATTTATAAGTAACAATAAAATCAAGCAGCATTTTTTCACTTGGGCTGCAGAGAAGTTGTAATGAGTGCGAGTTTTGCAATTAGCTCTAACTTCGTTAAGGTGAACAAAAGACCAACTTTGCTCTTGTCGCAACAATTGGATTACTGTAAATGGCGCTGTTTGCTGATTGCAATTATGGTGCTCGGCGGCGCTGCATAATTGGGGCGACTCTGACTGCAGGCGATGCCACTTTGTCGCGGAGAGAGAACAATATATTCATTTTCGCACCATGTGAGGTGGAATCGATCGGCGGCAACACACACGTCCTGCACGCCGCGTGCTTTTCTTTTTAGAACTTTTTGCAAACTATGGCAATAAAGTCGACCGGGATGTCAATAAAATTACATAATTAGAATTTTTCATTCCTCTCTTTCCGCGTGTGCGTCACTCGCGCTTCTGGAGACGACTTGCGAAAATTTGGTTCAATGAACAGAGTGTATTTCGGGACACGCTTGCTTCGTCCGGCTGCGATGAATGACGGACGGACTGCGGCTTCCTCTCTGCGTCGTTCGTTTCATTTTGGCGAAAAGTGGGCCGAAAATCTATATGTTACATCAGCTAAATACAGCAAGAGTGAATATTATTGGATTGGGGTTGATTCGGACCTTCCTTCAAAGTTCAAACGAAAAATTTCCAACAATTCTGTTTTAAAGGGGCGAGAAAATTTTGGCTCAAATGTTGCTGGAAACTTGTTTGTTTTTTATTATTGTTTTATTAAATTTATTAACTGCATTTGCTGCAACAAGTTACACAATTTGAACGAAAAAAGATTTTTGATGTGAAATTAAATGCTATTTTGTGGGAATTATTATCAGGTATATTCATTGTAATTCTGTTGTGTTTGTACAAATTTTGATAAAAGTTAAATTTTTCGTCTTGCAAATAAAATATTTTTCATAAAAAAAGCTCAGAAATTAAGTTTTCATTCTGGACGAAAAATCAAATCAGCTTCAGTGCATATAGAACTTGTATTTTTCGTGCTTTGAAACTTTTTCAATTGGTTTGGAATGAGCTTCCAGAATGTGTGGGCAACAAGGAATTGAAATGTAATTCAAAGGTCACGGAGCACAAAGTATCGATTGTGGACCGCATAGACTAACTAAGGTCACCGCGCAATGTTCACAGAAAAATCAGCAAATCAAACAAAATGCGCGAATTTTACCAAAACCAATTTTCTCCAACGTTCGTCTATATACGTATGCAATCTTTATTAAAATTTTTTTATTAAAAAAGCAAATTTAGCAAGAAGCTTTTGCGGTACCGAGAGTGGCTGCGTATTCCTATATAGCATAATTTCAAATTGAGAGATCAAATAGATTTAGTCTGCCAATTTGATTTGGTTGATATGAATTTGGTTTGTTAGAATTTTTATTAATTTTAGTGGGGCCGATTTGAAGGAGCAAAAATATTGAAGAAAATTCCCATGAAAGGAGAAGTTATTAAAAAAAAATGTTTTTCTAATTCAATTCCATTTTCTTGTAATGTCTTTTTTGGATTTTTTTTTTATTTTTGATTTTTTTGGAAAATTGTCAATGCCTGAAAAATAGTCATCAAAATTAATCAAACCCCATTTTAGGATTGTCTTAAATTTTACCGAGTCTTATTATTTATTGGCAAAAAATAGGTTAGGACGGTTTATAAGTCCCAGTCTAACTATATTGAAGTTGAAATAGAAGTGGGTCGACGCGGAAACCTAATTAGAGCGGTGCAGTTCCAATCGTTCATTAACAGCATCGATTGCACTTTTGCACTCGAGAGCTAAATTCAGCTTTGGCTCTCGTAGTGCCTGTGCGCGCGATTAGTCACGCCCAATCAGTCAAGGCCAAAGTCCACTTTAATTAAAAGTGGAAAATCCTGAGTGAAGGCGGCGAGATAAAAATATATATTTTCCACTCGCTTTAGAATTTCATGCAAAAAGCAGGGAGTTCCATTCAACCCGCATTTTTCTTTCAGCGTTCCTTCCACACTTGTGAAAAGCGTTTAGAAATCTTGGAGAATCTCGTTTCTTTGTTGTTTGCCGCACACGCAGAATGAACGCGCCTTTGTCCTCTGGGAGCCGCGTCTCGCTTCATTATTTTTCGATCTGACCCCAAAACGCGGTGCCAAGAGCAGAAAATAAAAACGCTGTTATATATGCAAACGGCAACCTTAAACTTTAGACGGTTTCGTTCGCAAGTGCATATAAATTATTCCAATCAGAAATTAAATTTAATTGAACAAAATTAAGTATAAAATGCATTTAAAATATAATTAATATATATTGAAATTCATTTAAAAAGTGGCAAATAATTGAAAAAATGCAACATTTCTCTGATATATCTCTGATTGTGCGATGGAATGAATCGAAACTTCTTATAATTTAATTTGTGTTTTGACCTCTCACTAATAGACTTAAATTGCAAGTCACAAGGGCAGAAATAAGCTAACGCCTGAATGAATCCAACTTGCAACAAACCAATCACACAAATGCAGTACAGAGGTTAATTTAATTTTTTTTTAGACTTACACAAATTAAATTATTTAATTTTTCGAACAAAATTTTTACTGTTCATCTCTCATAGCAAAATTAATTTATAATTGATGGACTTAATTAAGGAATATGACCAGGTATTTGATCAAAGTTTTAACAAAAGTTTGATTAAACCTGCACGTTTTCACAAACTCATCATCGCAGCTGCATTTTGCAATTTGTTGCGGTTCGTGCCCCTTGTTGCGGTGAGAATTTGCCAACTTTGACGCGACGCGACACTTATTTTTATTTCGTAGCTCACCGCTCCGCCAAATAAACAAGTGATAAAATCAGCAATGCCAAACACGAAACCCGGCCAACGAAATTTAATGCTTTTCTGAGAAAAGGCAAAAAGGGTGGAGCAAAAAATTAAAACAGGCATTTTTCCTGGAATTATCCAATTTTTTTGCACGTTATATCACTTATTTTTCGCTAAAATATTTACGAGGGAAATTAGTTTGTGCAAAAAATAATTAATTAATTATAATAAATTTCAAATTAGAGGCTGTGAGCGGATGAGTTGAGCGAAAAGAGGATTGCAGAGGAAGGCAGAATGAAATAGTGCAAAAATCGGTGCGGAGCGAGGGATTGGTTTCACCATCGGCGCTCGGGAGCTGCGTGGCTATTTCGGGCGAGAGCGAGCGGCGAGAGAGGGCCTTTGAGTTTTTGTAAGAGGCCGACCAGCGGTCGAGATCAAATCGGCCTCGCATTCCATCGCGTCGTTTGCCACCCACGCGCCACAATAATTGCAAACAAACGCACTCTTGATTTATAAACTTTCCCTCCTTCTCCAGAAAATAATTAAAAATTCGAAGCTCACAAATTTTATTGCGACGTTTCTTGGCAAAAGATTCTCGGCAGAAAAAAAAAGAAAGAGGCGCGACAGGAAATTACGCACTTGGATTGGCGGCGAGACTTGTTGTTGCTCGCGATGAACCAGGTTGGCGCGCAGCAAAATTGCTCGTGACGCACTCGGAAATCATTCCAGCAAAAACGCGCCTTGGCTAGGCCGCGGTATGCAACCCGCACGTCCGCAACGCCCCACTGGTTGCATAACCGAAATGTTATTTTCACCTTTTCCGAAAAATTTATAATCGAAACTACGAAATTTTCAGCAAAATGTTTCTTGATAAGTTGTATTTTGAAATCAAGTTTTACTTTATTTAAAAATTGAAAGTGAATTGGTTTTTATTTCTGCCATAAATTCGTTTTATATTCTTAACAGCTTGTAATTAATCTTTTTTGCAAGTGAAAGAAATTTGCAGTTGATTTCAAAGGTAAATTGTTCTCTCAAACCAATTCATTAAAATAAATAAATAAATTGTAACTAATTACCGTTTTTATGTTAAAAAATTTGAGGTTTTTGCGAGTGAAGTAATGAAATAACAATGTTCTCTCTCTTTCTCTCTTTCTTTCTCTTTCTCTCTCTTTTTGAGTTTGGATCCCTTAGAAAGAGTTTTGACGTGTGCCTTCTTCTGTGTTGCAGCCGAGCAGTACGGAGTGATGTCGACGGTGCAATGCAAGCCCGTCGAAGTGAAAAACTATGTCAAGCTGTGCGAGCAGCGAAGAAAGTTCCCCGTGCTGTACAAAGTAGAATTCCAAGTAAGTGCAAACATTGGCTCTCTCTCTCTCTCTCTCTCTCTCGTACATATTGAAAGAAATCGATTGATTGCTCTTGAGAGAAGTCAGCCTTCGGATCGCTTTCCAATCAGCCAATCACCGGCCTCTAATTGACTCTCAATAACTGGAACTCTTGTTAAAGAAAGAAAGAAAGACTCGAGCAAGCCGATTAGCAATATTTCATTTGGCGAAATGCTTTGAAAAGGGAACATTAAATGGGAAAATTTTCAAAATTTTAAAATTGTTGAAAAGAAGTTATTTTCAATGAATTGTAAAAGCCTAAAACAAGAACGTACATAATTTTATTTTGCCTCTTTTTCAGTCCGCATGCAAAGTTGAGGTGCATTCCTGTAGACACGCTACGAAAGCGAGCAACAAAGTGAAGAACCAAAACCAAAAGTGTATTCCATGTGAGTAAATAAAGCTTTGCCTCCGCCTTTCTGACGCCACTGTGGATGAAATTTATGCACTACGTGGACGCACAGAAGCACGCCCTCGAGTGTAATCAAGTTGTTCTTGTAATTCCAGATGACTATAACAGAGTCGTCCTTGACCCGATTGAGGGCGCGGTGGACTCGGACTACATTAACGCATCCTACGTAGACGTAAGTTGAGATGATGCACATTTTGAATTCATTAGCCAGTAGGCTTGGGAAAAATAGGAGATTTTTCAGCCGGAATAAGTGGCAAATAGGTAAAAATCCAAATAATTAAAAATAGGTGAATATTTTTTGCCTTAAATTTGTGCGTTTTATGAAATTTTTTTTTTGTGAAATTCATATATAGGCCAATTTTTAAATAATCAGTGTTTTTAGCTGAAATTGTAATAAAAACACAAATAGGTGATAAAAGGTGATAAATCTCAAGTGAAAATAGCTAGATTGTTTTCTCAAATAGGTGAAATACAGTGAGATAGGTGATTTTTAATCAAGTAGGTGATTTAAATTGAGAATTTGTACATAAAAATTGTATATTTTTGTCTTGATTCGCAAATTTTAGTTCATTTCGGACAAAACAAGTGAAAAAGGTAATCAATCACCTATTTTTCCCATCCCTGGCAGATTGCAACTTTCTATCGCGCGCATTAATTTCAAAGCCATTAACATCGAAACAAGATACTCCCATTTTAAACGCCTCTTTTTGTTCTAAATCTAAAAAAGTGTGAGGTTTTGATAGAAGTAAAAATTGTCATATTATTCTAAAAGTTGAACTTATTTAAATTTTAAGCAGTTGTAGCAGTAAAATCAAATTTATTTTTGAAGAAATAAGGAGATTTAATTATATATTTGATAAATTTTGCGCAGAGTTTGTTGAAACCGAACGCGTACATCGTGACGCAAGGGCCGATCGAAGAGACGGTGTACGACTTTTGGCGGATGGTGTGGCAGGAGCACGCCAGCTGCATCGTCATGCTCACCAAAACGTTCGACTTCATTCGCGTAAGCCGCTCTCCCGCTTGAGAAAGCAAAATTCGAACGGGCAAATGACAATATTATTCAATGAAACAGGTCATGTGCGTGCAGTACTGGCCGGCGTCCCTCGCCAAGAGCGAGACGTACGGCGACATCACCATCAAGGTCTTGCAAGAGGAGGAACTCGCAAACTTCCGCATCCGCACCATTCACATCTCCAGGGACTTCGGACCGGTCAGTCAAATTTACTTTAGTAAAAATTCACTCACTTTACTAAAAAACATCAAATGAAAATTGTAGATGAAAAAATTTAGTCTAACTCTTACTAAAACTTCATAGAAATTTTGATCTCTTTTAAGGATATTTGAATCAAAGTTGCAACTTTCAGGTTACAATGTAATTTTGTAATAAATCTTATATTACTACAAAATTTCATTTTAATTATAATAATTGTTTATTTAATAGTTTCAAATTATTTGAACTGTTTTACTTTATTTAAAATTTAATAGATGATACTATTAAAGATTTAAATTAGATTTGAGTTTCTAATTAAATTGGTGGCTGTGCAGGATAAGCCGGCGGAGGAGCGCGTTCTGCTGCAGTTCCACTACACCGAGTGGTACTCGCACTCATGTCCCTTTTCCAACGCCATCCTCGAGTTCAGGAGGAGAGTGCGGTCTGTGGCGAAGCACCATGTCGAAAGTGGCGACGGACCAGTCGTCGTTCACTGCAAGTGAGTCAAAGGGGCAAAATACTAACCGTAGATCAAAATTCAATTTTTTCAAATCCTGACAAATCAAAGTAAGATTATTGGTTTCGGATTTAAATAAAAAAAAAATGCCAAATTTTCCCAACCAGTACATATCAGTCTTGGTATTTTGTTTTTTAACTTTTGAACGCAATAATTCAAATATAATTTTTAATAAACCGATGAAATTGTTGGATAACGTTAAAAAGAATATGCAGTTTTTGTGATTATAATTTTTCGAAGGTTGTTAACCCTTTGAAGTTGAAACGACGCAATAATTTCAGTGATGGTGGTGGCCGGTCGGGCGTTTACCTGGCGGTCGACGCCAATTTGGAGTTGATGGAAGAGGAGGATTGTTTTGACGTTTTCGGCTACTTGAAGAAACTGCGGCAATCCAGAAAAGGACTGATCGAAACCATGGTAAGGCTCCACGCAGGCGAAAATTTTTGAGAAAAATTTCATCAATAATAAAACTTTAATTAACTTCAAAAATTTTGCTAATTTTTAAATTGTATAAAAACAGGAACAATACAAGTTTGTGTACGACACGCTGGAGGAGTTTGTGGTTTGCGGCAACTCGTGGTTCCCGGTGTCGGAACTTTCGGCGCGGCTGCGCGCCAAGTCGGCCAAGAACCCCATCACGAAGCAGAACGAGTACCAAAGGGAGTACGCGGTAATGGCATTTTAATTGCTCTTAACATTTCACTTGAATTTGGAAAATCGGCAGCAAATCTGCAAACAAACGCCGCGCTTCACGATCGGCGACTGCGCCGGCGGCCACCGCGGCGACAACCGCGCCAAAAACAGGGACGTCCTCATCATCCCACGTGAGTTGCGCTAAAATTACTGCAAGAAAGGAAGAAAGTTAATTTTTCTTTTCTCAGCCGACAACTTCAGGCCGTACTTGACCTCCTTCCAGGGCAACAGCTTCACAGACTACATCAACGCCGTCTTTGTTGATGTGAGTACGATAAAAAAATTAAAAACTTTTGTTATCGTTTAAAGTAATTTTTCTATTACTCTGAGAAAAAAATTAGACTTATTTAAATAGATAGAAGGTTTAATGAACTTTCGATACAACATTTAATTATTTTATCGAAACTCAGCGTGTTTTAATGCTGAAAGAAAATTTGAAACTAGCTTTTCAGGAAAATACTTTGTACTATCGAAATTGAAGTAAAATTTGTATATTTAAATCACTATTTATATTCTGATAAAGAATAATTAGTATAAATTCCAACCGCACCTGATGGATAGTTGAAAATTTTTTTGTGATTTTGTGGGCAGATTTGCATTTATTCCATTTCCACGGTCGTTCCAGATAAAAATCAACTTTTTTTGCGAAAAAAAAAATCAATCTTAATTAAATTGCAGGGGTACACAAAGCCGCGCGAGTACATCGTGACCGAGTGGCCGGTGAAGAACAGCCTGGGCGAGTTCTGGTCGCTGGTTTACGACTACGAGTGCAGCGCCGTCGTCGTCCTCTGCGTTCCTGACCCGGGGCTGGTGAGAAAAAAATATAAAAATTTTGATGCGCAGAAAAAAAAGCAAACGTGTCTGCAGCAAAACACGTTTCCGTCGTTCTGGCCCGAGGGGCGGCCGGGCCACTCAAAGAAGTACGGCCCTGTGTTCACCATCGACCACGTCTCCCACCAGCACTACACCAACATCAAGTCCTGGCTCTTCAGAATCAACAAAAAGGTATTCAAGTATAACACAGCCAAAACACAACAATAATTAGCCTCTTAAATTATTTCTTGCATGCAAAAAATCTGCCAATTCTATGAGGGTTCAATTTAATTTAATAAAAATTGACCTCGAGTGCTTAAAAAAAATACTAATAAAATATTTAAAAATATTGATGAAGAATAAAAGAAAGCCCTAATTTTAACAGGAAAAACTCAAATTTAGCATTTAATTTTATTTAAAATTAATTATTTGTTTCTTTCATTCACTTTTTATCCTTTTAACTGAAATTTAACCAAAGAAATTGAAAAATAATTTTTAAATATTATTTTGATTTCATTTGAATACCTTTTTTTAACAACAGCTACATTAACTAGAAAAAATCAATTAATACAACACAAGAAGCTGTATTTTTTTTTCAGTGCAAAATTTAAATTAAGCATCATGATTAGCCTTGGATTTAAAATCTAAATTTGTTGCTTAATTAGTTTTAATCCTTTAATTGAAATTTAAAAATAACTAAATTGAAATGTATTTTTCAAATATAAGTGATGCTAAATTTGATGAATTTTTAAGATTGTGTCGCTGACGGAGTTGATGGCCGGCGTGAAGGCGCCGCCGCGGAACGTGCAGCTGTACCAACTGATGTGCTGGCCGCTGGGTCACAAGGTGCCCACCTCCACCAACTCGCTGGTCGAGCTGATGAACATGGTCGAGCGGTGGCGGCAGAGGACAGACTACGGCCCCGTCGCCGTTGTCTCCCCGTAAGTTCGGCGACCCCAAACTTAATTTTAGAAAAAAAGCGGAAATCATATAAAGGCTTAAGTGTTCTTGGCGCCGCGCTGGAATTCCATTGTCGTCAAACTTGCGCAACTTCAGAGCCAAAAATAACCAAGTAAAAAAATTTCTTTCCACAATTGCGCAATCCAGGAGTATTTTATATAATAGTCAATATCTTTGTAACAGTTTTGCTTGAAATTTATGTTTTTAATTGCAGCAAAGAAATTATCTCTTAAAATGATAATTAGGGACATCCTCCCAGGACAAAAGTCCTCCCAGGGGGATCACTAGTGAATCTCCTCATATTTTTTAATATATATCAAACAAACCAAATTTGCAGAGTAAAAATTAAAAAATAATATTCTAGGCAAAAAAATTGAAGAATTAAGGACTTGTAGCTTTTGGATTTAATTTTTATGAAATGTGTTTTTAACGTTTTTGATATTTAAAATACTAATTTTATGTTCCATTGATATTTTCAAAGTTTGAAATTTTGTTAAAAAATATTTGATATTTTTTTCTTTCTTAATTTATTTCTTTCATAGAGTCGCTGAGTGCAAAATGTGATTATTTTATTTATTTGAACGACGCTACTTTTACTTGATTTTACAAACAATTCAAATTTTTCACACTGTTTTGAACTCATATTCATAAAAAAATTTAAGATTTAAAATGTGCTAAAAGGAGGCGACGATAAATTTACTACCAAAAATATTATAGCTTTATTATATTTGGTTTGAACCGAATTATTTAAAAAGAATGACGATTGCTTTAAGTTTTGCAGAAAAGGTCAGCAGTAAAGAATTTTGTCTGTTTTGCTTAGGGACGGCCGAGGCAGGTGCGGCGTTTACTGCGCGGCGAACGCGTGCATCGAGCAGGTGATTCAGCACGGCGAGGTCGACATTTTCCAGGCGGTCAAAACGGTGCGCAGACACAGACCGCAGCTCGTCGAAAACATGGTCAGTATTTTTCTTTTTTTTCCAATTAATTAGAGAAATGCTATAGAGCAAAATGTCTATTTTAAAGATTTTTAAACGTTAATTTCATTAAATATTTCAAATTATGAAAAGAGATTGAATTAATTGTTGTACCTAAATTTTCTTTTTGTTCAAATTTGAGACTTAGTTTTTGTAAAGCTATAGTTTTTATTTTTTCCAAATTATATTTAAAGTATTTTTTCTTTTTCATTCGGCTTTACGAGTTTTAAAACATTTAAATAGAAAAATGGTATTGATATAAAAAATTCTAAAAATTGTTAATATCTTTTGTTTTTTAAGAGGTTTTTTCCGTGGATTTACTGAAACTGTGCGAGAGACACTTGGCTTTAAAGAATGGAATATACAAACCAAAATTTTGACTTTTAATTGAAAAATTAATTTTTTAAAAATGACTATCTGCATGAAATCTTTTGTTTTTATTAAAAATTCAGACGGAGTACAAGTACTGCTACGACTTGGTGCTGCACTACGTGCTCCACTACTTGCACAAGGTGCTCAAGGAGAAGGAGACGAAGGATAAAAAGTGAATTGATGCATTGCAGCGTTGGGAGTTGTTCAATTGTCGCGTGTGCACACTGGGAACTGTGAATGCACACGCATAAATTAAAAAAAAAAAAAAAATGTACCCAGAAGAGGAAAGAAAGAAGAAAGGAAGGACGACGAGACTCTATTTTTAGAAGAGACTTACTGCGGTGAGAATCAAACGAAAAGTGCCAAAGTCTGCAGAGCGCAAAATTTTATTGTTGTACCACTTTATTATCAAATAAATCAAAAGTATCCAAATTTCGTAATTTACAAGTTTTTTAAATCATTTGCGCCAAGAGATATTTTTGTACACAAGTTTTATTATGCGAAAAAATACAAAATCAACGGCGGGGATTAAACATAAAAAACTGCTGAAAAAAGATGATGATGAATTGGGGACGTTTTTTCTAAATAGTTTTAAATAATGAATGAAGAAGATTTTTGGTTCCGAAAGAATTGTAAAAATTAAGGTGATAAGTTAGTATTTGTCGCCCTTCTTGGCGAAGTGCAGGAAGGAAAGGACGGTGTCCCCTAAGTAAACGGCGCCCGAAATGACGCACAGACTTCCGAGCGCCAAGCCGATCTGCTTCTCCTGGGCGATGCTCTGGTACTTGTGCTCGTTCTGGTAGCCGCTCCAGTAATGCAGGGCCGTTCCGCCCACGGCCACGAACATGAACGTGCCCACGAAGTTCATCATCACGTCCTGCAAAGTTACAAAATCAAAAATTATTCAAAGTAAATGAAAAATCTTAAATTTGAAGCAAAGCTCAAAGTAATTTTATTCTTTAAGGAAACTTTGAAGGTTCTTTAAACAAAACATTTAGTTAGAAAAAAAATTATGCAAATTAAGTTATTGTTACACTTTTAAACTGATTTGAACTTTCAAAAATAAGAACAGAGTGAAGAGAAACTAGCAAATATATATATATTTTTTTTTAATTTTATAAAATTTTAACAATTAAGAAATTGGTTTATTTTAAATGCTAAAAATAAAACCCATTCTGCTATATTTTGATTGAAAATTTGTAATTCTTACGACGAGCGTGTTTTTCTGTTGCGTTTGTCCGAGGCAGAAGGAAATGAGGACAACCGACGTGTAAATGAAGTAGCCGACGAAGACGCCCGAGGCGACGATTTCCGCGTCAGGGTTTTTCTCCTCGTTCAGGTTCCACGTGCCACCCACGCCCAGGAACTGCCCTCCGTACCCTGTTCTGTACAGAATCAGGATGATGAGGTTCATGACCTGCAATTTATTCCACATTAATTATTTATTAACTTTCTATTCTTCCAAAACTTTAGCCTTTAGTAAATTTATATTTTAAAGTTTAAAAATTACCCGTGAAAGTTATGTTCTAGAGCAAAAAATTAGTTAAAAGCCTTTATAGCTTTTTGAATTATTCAGAAAATTTTAATTTTCCGGATACAATAAAAATCCCAAAATTTCAAAAGATTCAAAAATATAAATAACATTAACACGAAGGTTCAATTTATTTTCCAAGCTATTTGCTAAAAATAATTAAATGTATTTATTCAAAAATATTGTTTATTTTAATTCACTTTAAAAACATTTTTGGAGTATTTTGTAATAGTTCAAAACAATTGACACGGTTTACAATAATCTGTATAACAAATCCAAAGATGTAGAGTTTGTACTGCATTTGCATTAATTGGAGAGAAATTAAAAGTTAATGTTTTTAAATAATTTAAGTCATAATCATTCCTCTGTTAATGTTCCATGTATACTTCAAAAAATTGTTATCATATCTAACAAAAGATAAAATTATGTTCAAATTGCTGAGAATCGTTTTACATTAAAAATTTTCGTGTAGAAAAATTATCTTAATAAAATTGAAAAGGGGAATATTAAAAATGATTTTGTTTTATTGATTTGGTTGTTTGAAAAGTGACTCGCAAGGCTAGAGAGCAGCAGTCGCTTTTCTTGCATCACTCGCTCGGTGCCTCCGACCTGATAAGATATAAATTTACGGACTGACTATACGAAAGTGAGCAACACCGAAAGTGATGCATCCAACGTCGTCATCACCTCTATTTCCAGTGAATTGTTTCCGCGATTGCAACGAAAAGAATTCATTCTCACTTTTTAATAAACGGTTTTTATTGAAAACCCTCTTGAGTTTAAACTAGCATTGAAATTTTCAAGTTCAAATATCACTTTTATATTAAGAGAAGTATTCCTGTAACATGAGCTGTAAATGAACCTGGAGGATAAAAAAAGTTTAAATATAAATCGGCTTGAATAGAAATTAGAAATGAATGATTATCATTTTAAGCATGTAAATTTCTGCTAATCTTGTTTAAAAGAAGAAAATAATTGCAAAAAGAAAATTATACTGACCAGCTTGACAACCTTGATGACAATGGAACCGACACTTTCTGCGCTGGGCATTTTGAAAACGCGATTTTTACGAACGGGTAACAAAAGTGCCAAACGATGCACCTGTTGGAGACGAAGCAGCGACTGGCGAACTCGAGATTCACACCCATGCACACTCTCTTATCAAGCTCATCCCAGCCAGCTTAGTCCAAATAGAGCACAGAAAATGTGTGATAACGCGCGCGAGCCAGAGATATGATATTACTTGTGTAATTAAACGTCACTTTGTTACTCACCTAGGCCCCACCCGGCCCGCGCCGACGTCGAAACAAAGAAAATAAACAGGTGACACTGTTTCGCGCACCAAATTTGGACTCATCTCGGAGCAAAATTCTTAGAAAAAAATTTAATTTTGCCAAAATTTGTATTTAAATGTACCAAGTATAAATGTATTAAGTATAAATAAAAATAATTAACAAAATTTCAAAAAGACTTGTTAATTTTAAATACTAAAATAATAATTTATTGATTTATTCTGATAATTTATTTTAAATTTAAATTACAAATTTTGTAAAATCAAGTACTGCATTATTTTATTTGAGCAATAAATACAAGAAGGATTTAATTTACCTTTTTATGACTTTTTATTATAACAATTTGTTTTCAGACGAAAAATAATTTACAGAAATTAAGTAAATTCAAGAACATCAAGGCCGTATAAGAAATCGAGGCTTCTTGCTCTTGAAATTCATCTACGGAATTCTTTTTCAAATCTTATTTTTACTCAATAAAATTCTACACAACATTTTGTTCACTTTATAAAAACAAATTTTATTTGCAAAAAATTGTTTACGTTTGTCTTCGATTTTCAAGGAAAACCAATAAAAAAACCGCTTTCCCGCAATTAAAACAATCCTTCTTCGTACTTCCACAATTTTTTTTGTTCGTTTGGCGATAACAAAGTGGCGAGAAGGAAATAATGAACTTTCCTGTTGTGCGGCGGTGCGGTGTTTGTGGTTTTTCCAGCAGGCAGCTGCGCTTTTACCCTCCAAACTTGAGAGTGCAGTACTGGCGCCGACGATGCCGAGATCGGGCGGCTACAGGTTGACGCAGGTGGGCCCTGGCGAAGGGTACCCCACGCCCCCCAAGGACCATTCGTACGCGGCGTGTCTCGCCTCGATGCTCGTCTTCCTCGCCATCTGCGTCATCATCCTCATCGCCACGCACCCTTGGATGGCAAAACCTCCACATAAGGTCAGTAAATTTTGATCAAAACATTTGATATTTAATGACGAACACATTTTTTGAGATATGACAAAGAATTTAATTTTAGTTAAATTATATTTAAAAGTGTTCTTATTGTAAATAATTGTTGTAGCTGGCAGGGATATTAAGAAGACGCCAATTTTTCTTTATTTTATTTTAACAACAGCAATTTATTAATTAAATAAAATTGAATGTTTAATTTTTTTTGTATTGCAAATTTGTATTGTAAGTAAGATAAATACAAATTCAGGTCTGAATCAAATTTAACTGACAATGAAACAGCAGTAAAATGTTTTCTTTCTACATCATCTTTATATATTCAAAAATAAATATTGAGAAATTTAGAATGTAATAATTTTTTACACATTTTAATTTTATTTTTTTAATATAAATTATTATTTTATAGGAAAAACGAATACGGAGTTCCCTCAATAAAAAAACAACCTATAACGTGATTTCTTTTCCTCTCCGTTTTTCTGGCACTGATTGTGATAAAAACAGTGGCCATTTTATTTTTAGATTTTACCTCCACTATTTTCTAAATAGAAATGAAGATTCGGGCTTTTCCTCGTTGCAAAAAATTGTTTTTATTCAAAAAACAAACGGCTCTACCAGTTTCGGTCACGGTCTGCGACCCTATTTCATGTATTCTTGTATTAGTCAGCGAGCAGCGCGTTTGCTCATGAAATAGGGTCGCAGACCGTGACCGAAACTGGTAGAGCCGTTTGTTTTTTGAATAAAAACAATTTTTTGCAACGAGGAAAAGCCCGAATCTTCATTTCCATGATCATCTCCTCGAGTGTCAACTTCTTCAAACAAATTTTCTAAATATCTTATAAAAAAAGATTAAAATTATATTTTTTTTTATTGATTTTGTAGAGTGGTTCGGACGACTTGAGCACGGGAGCCTTTGGCGGCGGAAAATACAGTTCGATGGCAACAACCTCCACTTTTAAACCAACAACACATGATGACTCTGAGGACTACAAAGATGTCGCAACTGGTTAAGCTAAATTTCATTGAAAAATTCTCCAATGTATTTTGAATCTATAATTGTGCCATCAGAGGTGCGTTCCAACAACCAGTCTAGTAACGCCGCATCAACAGAGGAGGCAACTCAGACGACCTCACCGTTGCCGAAAATTGACGACGAAGGTTGGAGAATAAAAAAATAAATTCAAAAATAACTTTGATATAATTTTAGATCTGCCAAGCTCTCGTGATTTGAAAGATTCCTCTGAAGAAAAGCAAGGTCAGTGAAATATTTTTATTTATTTATTTTTTTTTTTTTTTGTATTACCTAACTTAAAATTGTAAATTGCATTTTTATTTTAAATATTTCTAAAATAATATGAACCAGGAACCTTACATATTTCTTTTTTAAACTTGGTGGTTAAATTAAAACGAGATTACGATATCCTGCTTTTTTAAGCATTTCAAAATCCCTGCAGGAAAATCCCAATTTAAACTTAAACCTCACGAATCAGAAATTTTTTACCAGAAAAAATTGAGGGAATGCCGGAATTTTGATGTCAGGTGCTGTGATTTACAATAATAAAAAGAATTAGCCAAAACATTTATTTGAAAATTAGGCGATTCATACTATTAAAAATATGTATATTATTTTATTTCAAGCCTCTAGCAGCCCAACAAGCACAGAAGCTTTGTCCTCGGAATCTTCATCTGTAATCACCTCTTCTGAAGCGACAGGCAAAAATTTCTTAAATTAATTGATTTTAGTTGAAAATTTTAAATTAATTGTGCAGAATTAACTACAGTAGAGAAATCAAAGTCGGAAGCGGCAGAAACGACAACTTCTGAAAATGGTGAAATTTGAAATTGTTTCTAACGAGACATAAAAATTATATCTAGATTTGACGTCGACTTCTAACGTGACCGAATCTGGGGCGGAAACTTCGGCGACCGCAACTTCCGTTTCGGAGCGTCAAGGCAGATCGGCCTCTCAGCCTCCGTCGACCGCCTCAACAGAAGGTGAAGCTTTGCCGGAACTTTTATCCAACTAATCTCGATTTAATAATGTAAATATTTTGTACAAAGAGAAGATAAAATAAAAATTAACTATGCTGTACATAAAATAAATAAATACTACTTGAACCTTGCAAACCCAAAGAGCCTGAAATAAAACCATTTAACTACAAAATTTTATTTCAAGTGAAAAGAAATAAATTTTTGAAATACGCACTAATAATTGAAAAAGGGAAATTTGGAGTGAAATAAATTACTCATTTTTCCATTCCTGACAAAGATAATGAAACTTGTATTGTAAAATATGTGAGCTTCAATTCTCGATTAATTCAAAAAGTGCAAGACTTGGAATTTTAACAAAGATTTTGTGGGGAAACAGAGGCGCGGTGTTCAAGTCAGCAGTGCAGCGCGATCGCGAGTCGGCAGCTGAGTTTGCTGAACGTCGACGCGAAACCGTGCGACAACTTTTACGAGTACGCGTGCGGCGCCCTCCGCAGGACGAGGGACCTGGCAGAGGCTGACCCTGACGCCAGGGTGGACGAGCACATTCGCCTCGCCATGCTGGGCAACGAGTCCAAGTCGATCATGCCCAGATTCTTCCAATCTTTCTACGTCGACTGCCTCCGCTACGAGACCAAATTCAACCACACGCAAAGACTCCAAAAAGGTTCAGAAGTTTTCCAATTAAATAATTAATTCTTTTTATTTTTTTAATGAAACTGGATTGCATTATTTTCTTTTTAAATGTGAATTAAAAAAAAAACTAAATCATTTTTTACAGAAAATTCCAAAGGTCAAATTGTAGCAAAAAATTTGTTTTATTTAAAGAAATATTTATAAAAGAAACAAATTTTTAATTATTATTATAGTTTGAAATGATGTCAGAATTTGCTATTAATTTTTCTTTCAAAATTGATCTTTATTTTTAAAAATTTCATCGCTCAGCAAAGGAGATTCTGAAAAGCGTGGGCTCTTTTCAAGACCAGAGGGCAGAGAGTGACGCTTTGACTGATTTGATTGCAAAAATTTTCCACCTTAACAGGTACTAATTTGAAATCCACTCAATCTTCATAGGAATTTAACATTTCAAATAATAATTAAAATAAAAACTTTTAGGAAAAAATGTAACATTGAATTCATAGAATGATTGAATTTGACGTGCCATTTTTTTCCGAAATGGAACAAATTAGTAATGGCAAATTTCAATTATTAATTCAATTAAATTTAGTGCTCCCTTGTTTGACATTCTCCTGGACGTGTCCGAGGCGGGCAGAGATGACCCTTTTTCAATAAAAATCGTGCCTGCGATGCCGCAAAACACTTTCCTCCACACCAGTTTAGACCAAAACGCGAAAAAGTGCTTTTTGCAAACGCGCCCCGCCCAAGGAATTAACGTCAACTTGGAGGACCTTTACTACTCCCATTACGTTCCATGCAAGGTATAAGCTTAAAAAAGTATCAGTTAGTTTCTTCATGTAAAATAAAATTTGTTTAAAAGGACAATGAGATGGAATACTTCAAGAGTTTGGAAAAGACGGTTGCCGAGTTTGAGGCTTTCAACGAGTTCCCCGAGCAAAAAGCGGTCCTTTTGCAGGGCACCATGTTCGCCGCCGAGGAACTCATCCGCTCCAAACTGATTTCCCAGGTATTTGAATTTATAAAAAAGTGAATTTCTGTAACTTTATTGAATTCAATAAAAAAAGGCGTCCCTCTCTGAAGCGGACGTCCGAGTCAGCATGCTAACCAAGGGCTACGAAAAGCACACTGTGTCAGAACTGCAGGAACTTTATTCTTTGGTAAAAATACAAAATATTCTTCAATTTTTCTGATTTCTGCCTATTTCAAATGATTATAAAACTCAGTAAAAATTGAAAATTCTAATAGAAAATTAAAAATTTTTTGTTATGCTTCTTCAAGTAACCAATAATTTTATAAAAGCATCGTTTTATTTTAAGTTGAAATTCTCAATTTCATCACAAATTAGTTAATTGCATACTTATTGTTGTTCTTTTTTTCTAGAGACGAGATTATTTATTTTTTGAACTTAAAATGTCAATAATGAAAAGTTTAAGGCTATCAACCATCAAATAATTTTAAATTACATTTTCTAGCAACAAAGCAATTTACGGAAAATTATAATCTGATAACTAGAATTAATAATTATAAATATTCAAACCAAAAATTCCATAAAACATGACTTCAAAACCGGTTAAAATCTAGCGAAAAGTTAAAAGTAAAAGAAAGCCTCATTTTAAATTTTTAAAAGTATCTTAATTTTGTTGATTTAGATCCTCAAATTGTTTGTACTTGATACTTAATTAGGAAAATCTGAAAAAAGATTTTATTTCAGTAATAGTTGAAAAAGGAGTTAAATCTAACTCCCATCCCAATTTGCTTTTTTTTTTTAACTAAATCTTGAAATTTTAATTAAGCTGAACTGGGAAGATTTGTTGCGGAAAGTGGTGAAGGCGAATTCATCGATGATCAACGGTAAAACGGTGGTGCAGGTCTACATGAAGGGCTACTTTGACGCCCTTTTTGAGCAGTTCGATACGTACAGCGGCGAACAGTAAATAAACAATGAATTAATTCCTATATAATTTATGTAAATCTTTTACGATTTGAAGCTCTCTTTACAACGCGATCCTGGCGATGTACGCACACGTGCTGTACGTGGACTTTGTCCTGGAAAAGGGGACGTGCGATCGTTCGAAAATGTGTCTCGACATGTCCAAGCGGCTGATGGCAGATACTGCTTCTTCACTCTATCTGTCCGCCTTCGACGAAAAGAAGTACGAATTCCTCACCGAAAAGGTCAGGCAACCTGTCGAGCGTCGCTGTCCAGCGGGTTGCCTAACTTGTCGTTTTTCAGGCCACGGAGATTTTCGAAAAGGAAGTGATGCTCCTGACCAAACGAATTCGCGAGTCGCCTCTCATCAAGGACCAAACGGAAAAGGACAACCTGGTGGAAAAACTGCAGAACATGAAGCTCGAGGTGGGAGGCGCCAAAAAGCCCACGCCCGAAATCTACATCACCGAAGTATATTTCAATAAGGAATTATTTTTAATTTCTTTAATTTTCTTCGTATTGAATAAGGGTGATTTTGCTGAAGACTTTTTACAAAAGGCGATTCGCCTCCTCAGACGTCGCCGCCAACGAATGTATAGCGATTTCAGACTCGGAAGAAAACCGTCCGGAAACAGCCAAATGTATTTTATTTTTTAAATTTCATAAAAAATATTGATTTAAAAAATTTTAGTTGGAGCCACTTTTCCCTGGCCACTTTGACCAAGCCCATCGTCGAGTACGGACTCAATGCGATTGGTTTGAGAGAAATAATTATTTTAACAAAATTCTATATATTTTCATTAAGTAATTCCGTTCGGAGTTTTGACGAGCAAGTACTTTCTGAACGCGCCCGAGTACATCAACATGGGCACGCTGGGGTCGATGATGGCCCACGAAATAATCCACCACTTTGATCCAACCGGGATAAATTACGATGCGATCGGGAAAAGGACGACGGCCATCACAACGCTGAATGAGTACATTTTCCAAGACCTGACCACCCAACTCGAGCAGCAGTTTTCATTCCAGAAGTCGTTCTTCCTCGAAAATGGCGGAGTCGCTGATTTTACAGTGAGGACAAAATAATCTTGCAAATAACGTGCAATTTTATTGAAATTTTACTCTCCCAGGTCAAGTCGGAGTTGTCGATGAACGAGCGCTTTGCAGACGTGGGCGCCATGGACTTGGCCTTTGAGGTTTACAACGAGTGGCGCGTCGAGGCCCAAGGCAAAAACAAAAGCGACCTCAACTTGCCCTACATTAACTACGACCACGCCAAGAGCTTCTTCATAGCTCACGCTCAGGTTCAAAATTTTACTCTCCGAAAAATTAAATATCAGAAAACATGTGCAATTTTTAATTTTAGATGTTTTGCACCAGGAAGGAGTTTTTGGATCACAGGGTGGAGCTGTACGAAGCAGAACACTTGCCACCGCAACTTCGGTATTGCTATAATTTTTTTTTTTTTTTTAATTTTAATTGTTTTAAAATGGAACTTTTCTTTTGCAGGGTTGACATGATTATGAAAAACTCAAAGTACTTCATGAAGACTTTCGCCTGTCCAACAAAACAGAACAAAATTATTCCCAGTCTTGATGCCATGCTGTGATTTCAGCCGAAGTATTAATAATGCTTATATTAAACTTGGTTCCTTTTCCATTGTTAAAAAAAGATTTTAATTCAAATTGTTTTATTATTTAAAAATCATAACATTCACATAGACAACATAATTTGCTCATAAATAACACACTGCCTAGCACAATTAATAAATTACTAATATTTACACACCCTAAAAATTAGAAGTATTTCTTAAGAAACAACATGTCAACCAAGCAATCGGCATAAATGAATCATTTGGTCAAGATACAGCAACAATTTTTGCCGGCCACTTTTTGTCTCGTCGTCAAGTGAGCGGCAAAAATCTCAATATATAGGCGGGGGCACTAACAATTAAGCAATCAAGTCTTTACAAATGAATGAAAGTCAGGGTTCGTCGCGGGGATTGAACCTGCCGATGTGCAGAATCATGCCGGTCGGGTTGTGTCTGATGAAGTAGAGGAAGGGTCGATCGATCTTAAGTCTTGAGTTCTCGGACGCGGGCAGCCTGGCCTGGCGCGGCCGCAGGGGCAGCGGCACCTTCAGCAAACTGCCGGTTCGCCAGTCATAATCGTCCTCGTAATCCTCGCCGCCGCGACTTCCCAGCCGCCCAGTCCTTTTTGAAGAAGGGTACGTCTCCACGTGACCCTCGGCGTCCGGCGTTGAGCACAACGAGAAAACGTTCATCTGCAAATCACAAATTTAAAATAAAATTCAATTTTTCCACTGATACAAACACACGCTGACGAATTCTTTTTTCCATCAAATTACCTGACTTATGTCACTCAGGTAGAGCTCCTGGATGCCATTGACGCCTCTCAGGTCGGCCTTCCCCTCAACAAACACGTCTTTCAGGCCCATCCTGCTCAGTGGGACGGTCAAGTTGAGGACTGAGCGGTGCTCGAATCTGGGCACTTGCACGTCAATGGCGTGTTCCGATCGCTGCAGATTCCTCAGCAGCCCAGACCAGGCGCGTCTGGAGATCAGTCTGGCCTCCAGCCGCGCCAACAGGGGCACGCCGGCAAAACTGTTGGTTCCTGAGGATTTTTGTACATTAATTGCGAATTTGAATATTTAATGAAACAAAATGTACCTGGCTTGCCGGGCATGACGAAAACGGTGCTGGTGAGGGCGCCTGTTGGAGAGTTCGAGTGCGGAATTTCTACGGCGGTTGCGTCTAGTCCGACATCATAGCCAATCATGAACTCGCCGCTCCACACAGCCGCGGGCAACACGTGTTCATTCTTTTCTCCGTGGAAGGTCATTTCGCCGTCTCTTCCAGCCGATGTCGAAAGAGTACAATCCATCTGCAATTCATATATTAAAAATATTTAATATTTTAGAAATTATGGCTATAATTAATATATTTACTGTGATGCTTAAAATATTAAGATATAAAATCATTTTTTTTTTTTATAAAAATTTAAATAAAAAACATTTTCAGGGTGTATTGTTGTCTGCAATGATTTCATTTTAATTTAAATTCTTGCAGGCTTCATTTGATAAAAACTAACCTGGAAAACGTTGGCGCTGAGTGCGGCAAAAGGCGGGTTGAGGCGCAAAACGGCAGCGTCTCCCAAGAAGAGAGGCACTTTGTTCGAGGTCTGCGTTTTCACCAGTTCATTCGTGCGCACCCTGACTACTTTGGCAATGTCCTCGAAGTCTACTTGTTGCATCAGGCCGTCGTAAAACGCACTGGCGCGCGCCTTATAGAAGTCCAAAGGTTCTTTGCTTCCCTGCAATTTCCAAAGTGATATTATTTCATTTAAATTTTTAAAACTGGTACCTTTTGGCTGTAGAGCTCTCTGACGATGGCGGCAGAGTGGAGGTCAGGACTCATGATGACCGAGTCGGTGATGTTCCTCATGACAAGGTGGGGGTTGAAGGTGATCATGTCGTCGAAGGGGAGGAAGTCGTTGATTTGTGCAGAGGTCTGGCCTCGGGCGCCGATGAAGACCATGGCGATGAGGGAGGTGGCGCCGAAGGGTGAGATGGCGATGCTGCGTCTTTTGTCCAGGTCAGAGGTCGTGTGTTTGTAGAGGCGGATTCCGATATCATTGCTCAGGTCAATGAAGCGGCGCACGTCCTCGTCCAGCGTGACGGTGGTCGCCTCCAGGCCCAGGTTATTGATTGACGCCGCCTTCAGCTCAACCGGTGGCGCCGAGTCTGCGTAGGGTTTGGGTCGGGGCCGCATGGATGGGGTGGAGGGGCGGATTTTGTCGCTGGAGGCGATCAGCTCCATGCCGTCGTCGTTCGACTTGGTCAGGGTGGTCGGTTCTTTGTCAGTCGGTTTCTTGGTAGGAGCAACAGTGGTCGTCGTTGCTTGTTTCACGGGTGGTTTTTTGTTGCTCGAGGCGTTCTTTTCCGCCGTCCAAATGACCTCAGGAGGCTCCTGCCAGCTAACTTCCAGGTCGGTAATGTTTTCAGTGACAAGTGTCTGTTTTTCAGTCGTGGTCACAGGAATCGTCTGGTTTTTCGTAGGTTTAGTCAGGGTGGTTTGTATTTTGTTTGGGAAGGTGGTGTTCTTTGCGGGCTGAGGGGAGGTGTTTTTCACAGTGGTGGACGCTGGAATGAAAGTGGTGTAAATTTCCTCTCTGACCGCCTCCTCGGAGCTGTCGCCCAAATTGAGAATGCCCGCCGTGTCCAGAATCTGATCCAAAACCTCTTTAATCTTTTCCCTGTCAAGCTTGTTGACGACAGGCTGCATGCTACTCGCGCCAGGGCCCTTGCTAGTGTCCAGTTTAATTGTGGACGCATGCTTTATTGTCGTGGGACTCACCACGTACTCGGTGGTCGACACCAATTCCATCTCCTCTGTGCTCGAATCATCCGCATTCGCCGGCGGGTTAGTGGTTTTAGTAACTGGACTAGTAGAGGAGGCTAGTTTGGTAGTTTGCGTGTTTGACTGACTTGACCCAAAACCAGAAGAAGGACTAACTGTTACCTTGCCAACAGTGGAGGATGCTGGCGGTGCCTGGGTGGCCTTCAACTGCGGCTGGACTTTTGCAGAGGTGGTAATTATTTTGGTTGTAGAAGACGCTGGACTTGTAACTTTTAGGGAGGTTGTAGTAGTAATAGGGGCTCTAGTTGTGGGAATTTTGGTGGTAGGAGTTTCAGTTCTGGGACTTTCATATAAAGGAGTATTGGTTGGGGGAGTTTTATTTGTGTTAATGAACAATTTTTGAGTGGTTGTTGTTTCAGGCGCCACTGTTGAGGTGCTCTGCGTGGTTGTAGGTTTCACAGTAGTTTTTACTGGTAGTGAAGTTGTAATTTTGACATCTTCCTCTTCTTCACTGGACTGTGAAGTAGAAACATCATCGAAGATTTGAGACAGGAAAGGAACTTCATCGTCGGTTTCAATCCTTTCTGTACTTTCAAAATTTTCTTCTTCCTCATCGGACTCTTGTTCTGAAAAATCATTTTCGATTCCGTCAAAATTGCTTTCGGTGGCGTCTGCCTCGATTCCTGATACTTCCGAGGTCAGTTCAAAATCAGACGATTTAGAGGTAATGTCCTCCATGACCAAGTTATCGGCTACTGGGGGCTCATTAACAGTGGTCATCTGAGTTTCAAAAATCACAGATTCTGTGAACGCTTCTGTTGTGCTAGTTGTTGGTTGCGAAGTGGTTGTGGAGGGTTTCATTGTAGTATAAACTTGGCTTGTCACTTTAGGAGGAACAGTAGTTTTACCAGTTTGAACAGGGCCAGCTGACGAACCAAATGCAACAGTCGTAGATGAGAAAGAGGAGACAATTGGCCTTTTATCCGTTTGTTGTAAGAGAGTGGGTTTTTTATCAGTGAGAGACTGAGTTATCTGATCCATTTGAATTTTCAAGTCATCGAAAGGAGGAAGTGTTATTTTAGGAATATTTACAGGTTTTTGCGTGAAAACCTGCTTTGTTGGTGTGGTAGAGACAGTAGTGACTATTGGCGAAGAAGTGGTTTTTTCAGTTAATTTTTCTGGCACATTTGGTGTTGACGTAGCTGGGCGTCGAGTAGTCTCAGTTGGAAGGGCAATAAAATCTGCATAATCAGATTCAGGTTGGGCATCAAAAACAGGGGCAGGAACAACTTCAGTGGTCACTTTAACTGGTGTTTTCGTCGTGGGAATTGTGATTTTAGATGTTGAAGTTGTCTGAACTGTGACCTTGCTAGGCGCAGAAGTGGTGGGAATTGTGATTTTAGAGGGTGAAGTTGTCTGAACTGTGACCTTGCTAGGCGCAGAAGTGGTGGGAGCAGTAATAGGAACATTGGTGTTCTGCTTCAGTTGCACCGGAGCAGCTGATGTTAGAACCGAGTCACTGGCCACCATATTGGGGAACATGACGTTGGAGACGTTCACTTTAACAGGAGCCTGGGTCGTAGTTTTCGGAGCCTCGGTAGGGGTGATATGAGTGGTGAGATAAAAGCCAGAAATGCTTTGCGAATTGGGCAGAGCAGTTGAGGGCGCCTTCGTTGATGAGGGTTCGGTGATATTGAAAGATTCAATCGTGGTTGCAGAAGTTACTGGTTTGGCAGGACTGGAAGTTGTTGATGATGCTTGAGTTCTCAGAGATTCGGTTGTGCTGCTTATTTTCTGCATCAAAGCAGCAGTTGTTGGCTTTGTAGCAGATTCGGTAGTCTTGATCGCAACTCGAGTTTGAGTTTCTACTTTCACCATCGTAGGCAGAGGTTTTGATGTGGTTTTCTGCGGCGTCTCGAGTTCAACTGTGGTTGCCTTTTGAGTGGTTGATGGTGGAATTCTTTGAGTGGTAGACACTGGCTTTGGGCTTGTAGAACTGGCAACAATGATCGATGGTTGGGCCGTCTGAGTGGTGGAAATTGGTTTGGGTCTAGTTGAACTGGCAAATGTGGTTGGAGGTGGGATTTTCTGAGTGGTGGATATTGGCTTGGGGCTTGTGGAACTTGTAACTGTAGATGGGCTTGTTGAACTGGCAGCTGAGGTTGTGCTGGTTCGCTCTTCAACTTGGACAGGCTTTGAGGTTGCATCTTGCTCAGTGTGTTTGATCTTTTCGTACATATCCTCCACAAGCAAATCAGCAATGATTGTCGACGGAATTGTGATTGCTGGTTGGTCAACATCAGGTTTGACTTGGAAGACAGGAATGAAGGATGCTTCTTCTGGAGGAATGCGAGTGGTTGTCTTCAAAATTGGAGCCACTGATGGAGGTTCCGTCGACTTTTGAGGCATTTCTGTTGAGACTTTGACGAGATTTTCAGGCAAAGTTGAGGAAATTTCAATGGTAGCGCTAACGGGCGCCAAAGTTGGAGTGGAGCTGGGTGCAATTTCCGCAACTTGTTCAATCTCCTCCTCGGTCGGCTTTGAGGTTGTGAAGACTGGAGGAACAAAAGTGCTGACCTTTTCGGGGGTGTCCTTCAAAAGGTGCAGGGTTGAGCCGGGAATATTTTGAGTGGCGTGCAGAGGAGTGTTAGGAATGTTGGGCCTGTTGATTCCCCAGTGGGGCACGTGACTGCTCTCCTCAATGGTGATTCTATTCTGGACGTCAGCCAGCACATCCTGAACTTTCTTGATCACCTTGTCGACACCAGGCGGTGACCAGTCAGGGTTTCTTTCCAATGGCCTAGGCAGCAGGAAAAACGAGGTAGGACGTTCCTCGAGGGGCTCAACATCCTGAGGATCCATGCCCGGCAGGTCAGAGCCAATCTCAACACTCTCCCCGGCGATCAGACCCTGGATTTCGTCCATAGTCATCATTCTCTTGACCAGGTCGCCGGCGTCGTTGAACGTATAAAACTCGTATCTGTCCGGGGACATGAGACTAGGAGGGCTGGACAGGTGCGAAGCGCTTGCAGGCTTGTCTACGGGACGTCCGGTTGGGTCAGCATACGTTTGCGATCCGTTCCCAAGATCCATTATCACGGATACGGAAGTGACCACGCTGCGAACAAAGAATAAAAAAAAAACATACAAATTGTACACTAAAAATTTATTTAATCCTGCAAATTAGTACCTTGATCCCAAAACTTTTCTCGTGTCATCTCCGTCTAATTCTTGTTCCATCAAGGACGCGGCGGGAAATGCAATCACATTGTGGAGGAGTGAGCTGCAGAGGAGCAGGGCTGCAGCTGCCCTTTTTGCAGCTTGCATCGTGACTTTCCACTCTGCAAAAAGATTCAAATTATTGAAAATGAGCTACGGTCCAGAATTCAAGATTAGTTTGACCCTCTTTTTCAGGAGAGGCACACACATACTTTAAAGGGAAAAAATGTCGCTCTTTTATGTTTGGTCGGATGACACACCATTGCCGTAAAGATGGAAATTTGGTGCCTCCGATAACGGTACAATTTTTTGTGGAAGCATTTAACTGCAAATTAATTTCTGAAGGAAAGTAAAACTAACAAGACGTCGAATGTTCATGTGTGGCGACGAGCACGCCTTTCGTTCCACGAAATCAACTACACGCTCGCTTGCGCTGAAATAGCGGATTTTTAGATGGCAGCGGCTTCTGTTAATTATTATATCACGGCAATCTGACAACTGGAAGTGAAACAGTAAAAATCGAAAACGAATCACTCTCTTGAGCTTTAAAGCAAAGAGGCGCGTTTCATTAAAAATGAATTTTTCTGCTTAAAAGTTAAAAGCGTTATTTGTTGAAAAATATTGTATCATGTGAATAATATTCGCACATGGAAATCGCTTCTCATCATTTTGGTTTTAACGACGTGTGAAATCCTGGTGGGCTTGGCGACGTTTAATAATTTTCCTGCCAATCTCTTTGTCTTTCGGGCCAGTTATGTTTGCGCAATGACACACAGAAAACGAACTTGAAGCTCTAATTGCCAAGGCAAATCCCGCCGTTATTCAAATATTCTCTCACTGGGCATTCAACTGAAATAACGCAATTATTTACCTATTGTGCGCGAAACCGCGGTCCAATTTCGTGGAAATGCGCCGTTATGAAATTTTGGCAGAATAAGTGCATTTCGTGCTGCATCAGCCCGCATGTATTTCAATAAGGTTCATTAACTTTTTATATTCCTCAAGAAAAATGAGACTTAACTGTTCACGTGAATCGTCTTTGTTATACTCGCAAGTGAGGAAATGCTCGCGCACGTGAAAAAAAACTAAATCGGCTGATACAATTTTTTACTAAAAATAGTGTTACATGTGAACACGATTAAGGTCATTACGATTTTATAATTTAATAGCACCAACAATAACACACGTTTTTTTTGTTCGAAGTTAACTGTAAAATTTCGAGATGGATCGGGCGGTGCGTAATAACTTTCGATTCGCCAATTACGGAAATCCTCTTGCTTATTCCACTTTTGAGAATGGGCACAATACCGACCGATACATGCATGACATCATCACACACCGAGATTCATTGTGAAAGTAGTGACTGGCCAAATTGGGCCTATTCAACCCAATGATCGGTGGCTGCTCTGAATTACTGGCAAATTATTTCAAGCAAAAAGTCGGGACCCCTTCGAATTATTCTCATTGAAAGTCGACGTCATTATCACAGTTTAATTTCACAAAAAAAAAAGGAATTTCTTGTTTATGAGATACAAATAAATTAATTTAAAAACTAGTTGTTTGCATATTACAATCCGCTAAATAAAATATAAGCATTGCCGAGGCAATAAGTGCACGCGCCTGATGGATCGAGAGAATTAAACGCGGCGAGAGATACCGTAATATTCGTTCGTTTTCTGCGGAGAGCACATTGTTTTCGCGATGAAACTTGCTGGGGTCAGGGGCACGTCGCGCGCGATCGCCATCAATCAAGCGACTCGTGAGCTCACTGAACTAAATTTCCTGCATCGCCACACTTTGTGAATCCATTTTTACCAAAATACAGAGACTAGAGCCAAAAAGTTCCCATCGGTGTGAGCAGAAAATATTGCCACACATTTTCGGTCCATAATCTTTTGTTCCCATAAGATAACCCCGTTTTGTATTCCCTGCGATTCGTCAAGGAAATTAAAGTATATTCTTCAATCATCAGCTCAAAAGTGGGTGATTTTTCTGTCCATATATTATCATATTTTGTAATTTTTACTTGGTTTTTCACATATATTGAGAATTGATAGATTTTTATTTAATTATTTGAAGGGGAAAATTTAATTTTTGGACAAAATGGCTTCACCTGAAAATTTAAAGACTATGATGAGCCTTGCTTGAATTTAATCTTTAATTGATAAAAATAGTAAAATAGTAAATAGATTCTTCTGAAATGCCATTTTTTTTAACAAAACCTTTCTATTTTATAATTTCTTTCCTATTATAAAAATCTCAAATGAAAATAATGAAAAATAGGAACCACCTGAATAAAAATAAAATAATTGGTTTGACCTTACATTCAGATTGAACGCATTTTAATTAAAAGTTTCCCGTTGTTCAACTTTTGAGATTGATATAAATTGTAAAATTTGAGCGGTTAACCGCGACTTTTTGCTTCAGTTCTGTCGGCGGAACAAAGAGACTTGTCACTCAAATTGGTTCAGAAACACAGATTTTGCGAAACCAGTTTGATTGATGAGCGACAATTAGACAGACTAGTTCGGGTTATGATAATTCTTCTCAGCCCGGATTCGTCTGCGGCCGCCGGCAAAAAGTCTAATCGAATTACTTTTGATTTGAGCTGCCTTTGTTTGCAGTGAAGTGAGCCTATGCTAAGTGAGCAGGAGCACACTTTGCCGTTATTCTCGTAATATATGTGCCAACGAACGAGTCATTGCCATCTCTCAAGACACACATCTCACTCGGTGTTTACCGCGCCGTGTTTTACACTTTTACAACAATCCATTCTCTAATGTCTGAATTTACAATTCGCTGCTAATTTGATCGCCACCCCATTCAATTTATAATGAAAATGATATAAAAAATAATTTTTTTTTTTTTATTCTTTTGACGATCAAATTTGAAATTAAAACGGTAATTTGATAAATTTGGGAAAATCACTTTTTACAAACCGAGAATTTTTATAATGTATAATATAAATTTTATAATTTTTTGACAGATTTTGTTCGGTGGCGAGGAGACGAAATTGATTCGCGCAGTGCGGCTGCCGGCGTGCGCGCGCGACTATAGAATTATTAGATAACCCGTTACATCTCGGCGCGAGACTGAAAGAGAGATGAGAGAGCGGTGACCAGAAAGAAGCAAGAAAAGTATAGAAAACTGGCCCCGTCGCGGGACAACAAACCACACCGCGCTGGCTTACGCAATTCTCTCGCACTTTCAAAAATTCATGTACGTCGTAAATTAATAAAAATCGACCGACCGCGAGAGAATTCTTATAGAAAAGTTAGCTCCGAGAGTAGGAGAAACGAAATGATCCGTTAGCAGGGCGCACAAAAAGTTAAATTCCAGGGTATAAATTACGCGCTGATTAGAGCAGCCTGCCGATAAATAACAGCTGCGGCCGATCTCGCGTAAACAGACACGCCACCGTTTCTGAGATCATTTTATTTTTTGCTCCGTCTCGTATAAACGAAACGCGCTAGATTCCACTTGCAGCTCAAGATTCAAACGATTTTCCTGCAGCTTCAAAAACAAAATTGTTGGAAATTTATAACCGATACCCTCAATCAGTTTGCATATTTCAAGTGGAGAATTTTAATAACGAGAAACAAAAATGATGGAAAATGGCCAAATTTCAATGTTCAAGTGCCAAAAAATAAATATACTAAAATGGAAAATGAAGTCCATTATTTGTATTTATTTAATATTACATTTGCCAAAAATTGAAATATTTATTTATTAATTTTAGATGTTGATGTTTGGACGTTTAAAAGCTAAAAATTTTCCCTCTTAATTTTTTTTTGTTATTCCACCTTTTCCTGTTTTCTTCTTCTCAATTTTTACTAAAAAGATTGGTTTTTATCTTATAAAATAATGAGGCACATTAAAATATTCAAATAATTGTCCAAGAGTGAAACGAGCCATTCAAATGAATATAGTTGATAATCGCACTAGAACGAGAGTTGAATAAATTACGGGCGCAGCCTTGAACCACTGGGGACGGACGCACGCCTTTGATTGTACTTAAAACGATTAGATCACATAGATGTTTTTTTCGCACTTCACTTTTTGTAGGTCGGCGCAAAACCAATAAAATACAGTTTTTGTGGAGCAGCCAGACTTACATCCGAAAATTCTCTCACTCGTCTCACTCTCGGGGTCAAACGATTTTCACACCTTTTAAATGTGGAGCGCCCAAACCGCGCCGAGCATTAAAACAAACAAAGCCAAAAATTCTAACTCGCGAAATCCCACGCAACACTTTTCGACTTCCGCTCGAATTGTGTCTTATTCGAAAAAAAATGTGACATTTCTTTGCGTCTCATCAAGTCAAGTGAAAATGCAAGTCGGCGACAAAGGAAATCAATGAATCGCGAAGAGCAGCTGTTGGAAGCAAAAAGATTTTAAGGCGCCGCCGAATGGTACATTGACCGCAGAGCTCGCGGCTAATTTCTCAGAGCGAACCGGCAGCGGCGGCGGCAATTAGTCGCGCCGCCGTGAAATTCGCGAGCAACAATTCACACAACAATTGTTGCAGATAATTAATAATAATAAAACGCGATTGACACTCACAAAAGCTGAAATTACACACTCCTAATTAATTGCTTTATCTTTTTATACATTTAATTTTTGCAAGTAAAAAGTCTTGCGAACAAATTGATTGCAAGGCAGGTGTTTGAATTTTATTTCTTTCTTTCTTTCTTTTCCATTCAAGCGAATATTTTCACAGGCCGAATAAATCTCACGCGGCTGTTATTTTTTGCCCTTCGGGAATTCGAGTTTTTTCGTCTCATTCCAATCAAGTGCGCAATTAGTTGTGTGTGGTGCAGCTGTTTGATTTCAGTTACATAATAAGTGAGAATGTGGAGAGAATAAAATTGAGAAACACACTTTTGGGTTTGTGAGGCGCGGGCACTCACAAAAAATGCAGGTCTTTTCACACGAGGCGTTAACGTGAGACGCGTTGCGACTCTCGCGACAACAATTTTTATACTTCCCAGAAGCAAGTTCGAGTTCACGGCAAAGTGTGCGGGTGTTAATTGCCCTCTTACAAAAAGACCTTAATTCGTCCTGTTTGCAAAACCTTTTAGCCTATTTTTGTTGATTAATCAAATTTCGGTGCAGAATTTGATGGAAAAAACAAAACATTTTAATATAAAAATTTAGAAACCAAAATAATTATTAACAATAAAATGTATTTATTATATAAATTAAGGCCATAAAACTAAAGGAAATGCCAAGTTTTTAAAAAAAAAATCATTGCATAATTAGCGACTTCATTGTTAGGGGGAAATTAATATTGTTTTGAGCCAAGTAATTGATTTTATGAAAACAAATTCATGGTGGAATTAAAATGATTGAAATTGAAGTGCACTCACGTGTGTGTTTGTGGCGAGTTTCGAGATGTGTTGCGTTCGTCCGTCTGTCGAGTGCAGTGGCCCTGGCAGGTACGACGAGCTCTCAGGTCTGCAGGCGGCGAGCCAATGAGCGTCAGGTCATGTTGCACATGCCCGCATCTCCTCTCCTGCCGCCGCCGCCGCCGCCTCGGAGGAGGAAGAGCCTTCCTTCTTCATTAGGCGTGGATCTGTAGCGGTGGTTGTGCCTACCTGAGCCGCGCGTCACTCCTAACGGGATTCATTCAGTCCACCTGAGAGACTACCTGAGAGCAGCGCACTGACCACTCCGCCGGCCGAATCGCTCTTTTTCGTTCTTCGTTCCCACGCCGAACTTTCCGTCTTTGCGGAAATAGCCAGAAATTAGTTCCACGGTTGACGAAGTACATATTTTCTGCCAAAAATCAGGATAAAAATAATAATTGAAATCATAGTTGTCAAGCAACAAACATAAATACTATACTTTTTTTTTGCGTCGAAAAAAGGTTTTTTGTCTCTCGCACAATTTCAAGTAACCCTTGAGACAACTCTTTATTAAATTTTTTGTTAAAATTTAAAAAGAAAAAAAGGAAATTTATTTACGATATAAATAAAAATATATGGAATATTGTATAGTTCATTGAGAATTTATTTAAGTTAATATTTTAAAATTTATTTTGCCGTACCTCAAAACCGCTTCAAAAATTATTCTGCATTGTGTAAAGTTAGCTAGAAATTTTTTAAATAAGAAATTTATCAAAAATTGCTCAATATATTTAAGAGATTTCCAATTTATGATTTTTCGATGTTTTTTAACGGAACAAAAACTTTTTAAAGTGACCTTAGGATATTTTAAAATTGCAAATAACACTGAAATTTTTTAAATGACTCAATTTTGATGAAAAATTATCAAGCATCTTGGTACGCAAATTCACGAATTCTCCAATTTGTTTAAATTTCTATCATTAATTTTCTTTAAATTTTGCACATAATATCAAATCAAGAAATAAAGTTATACACAAGCTTTAAAAAACGTCTTCACGAGAGACTATTACTGTAAAAAATAAATTTCATACTTTCGACAATAATCAGAATATTGTCATGGGAAGTCCGATTGATTTGAGATTTTCACTTCCTTTAATCTACGGAAGATTTCAAATTTATTGCAGCTTTGATTCAGTATCATTATATTTAATTCTAAAAAGTGAAAAATTGCTTCATTTAGCCACTGCAATTTATTTCAGAAGCGGTTTTTAATTTTGAACGTCTGTTTAAAAATGGAAAGAACTTTCAAGGTTTAATTTCTAAAACAAATTCGCCATAAATTTCTCTTTGGCGCTTTCATAGAAAAAATTCAGTTTTTCTTATTTCAATTAAAAAAAATTCTAAAGTTTTCCTTTCATTATTTTAACTATCTTTTGTAAACAATTATTTTTTGTAGAATTTTAAATTCCTAGATGCATCATAGACTTCATAATTATTTTTCTTCATCCTCTAATCAAATGATTTTATTTTATGCTTCCCTCGTCATGCACATTTATGTATGTAGATAATTTTAATTAGATACGATACATAATGTTTTTTATGAATTGGTTGGAAACAATTGCGGAATATTGATTATGAATCTTTTTTGAAATCTCTAATTAAATAATTATTGATCATTTCTTTGGCAATACTTACATTCGCTTGGTGTCTTTGTTCTTGTCTTACTTGAGCTGCGAACATTGTTTACAATCAATTTCCATGCATGCTTTTATTGTTGGCGCAGACGCCGCCAGGGGTCAGCGGCGTCGCGTTTCGTACTCGTGAGAAGGGGGCGTGTCAACAAAACAAACCAGCGTGTATTTTGTCTCCTCAAAATCGTCTCGTCCAAACCAACAAGGTCCGAACTTTGCTTGGAGCCGAAGAATGGCCTCGAAGGGCGAACGTACGGTGATGGCGCAGGTTGGTACCTATCCTTGACTGACCACGGACACTGCTCCCTTGTGTACACCCCTTTTTTCCTCTCGAAAGCAGGACTGAACTTGAACTCGAATCGAGATGCGTTTTTCGGCTGTGCTAAACAAGAAGATTCGCCGCTTCATGGTCGGCAAGTTCATCGACTCGGCCAAGGTGCGCGTGCGAGGTGGCAACGGCGCCGACGGCCTCGCCAAACTCGGCGGCGTCGGCGGCTCCGGCGGCGACGTCGTGCTTCAGGCCGACGCCGAGGAATCGCTCGACGCCTTCTACAAGCGGTGGCGCCGCGTCCCGGTCGTCGCTGCCGAAAACGGACAGCCCAGCGCACGCAAACGCATCTTCGGACACTGCGGCGCCGCCAGCGTCCTGTCGGTGCCCATCGGCGTCGCCGCCTACCGCATCAACGATAAAGGAGGCGTAAGTTAAAAATTCTTAAAGTGATTGTGAATCAACCCAAATTTCTAAAACCTTTTGCGGTCACCAATCGGTTCCTTGTGATCTGACCTTTCCAAAGATGTGCCCCTCAAAATTTTTGGAATTTTTTCAAACACAGTTGTGGGGGGAAGTTCTCGGACAAATTGGGACAAATAAATTCAATCGTTTGTTTGAATAAAAGTTTTTAATTTAATATCGTAATGAAAACTCCCAAATTAACAAATAATAAGATTACTTAATTTTTTACCAACCATTTGGAGATCTTTTCCTTGCATTACCAATAAAAACTTGGATTTCAATAACTAATTTTTGCAAAAGTTGATTTTTTTATTTTTCGGCACATTTTCCGGCAAACAGCCATCTACTGCCGATCATCAGGTCTTTAAAGGTTTTCTAAAGTCATTCTTATTTTTCATATTAACAGAAAGGTTCACTTATGTGACTGAAATTTAACCAAAATTAAATTATGGTAAAAAATGTCTCATTTTTTGCAGGGTTTGATGGTGGGGGAGCTGAACGAGATCGGCGAGCGGCTGGTGGTGGCCAAGGGTGGTGCGGGCGGCGGCCCTGACAATGACTTCAAAGGTGAAAAGGGCGAGGCCACGTTTTTGCAGCTCGACCTGAAGCTGATTGCGGACTGCGGCCTCGTCGGCTTTCCCAACGCCGGCAAGTCGACCCTGCTGAGGGCCGTGTCCAGAGCCAAGCCCAAGGTCGCCGCCTACCCTTTCACCACAGTGAGACCTGAAGTCGGCTTCATCGAGTACCCCGACAAGACAAAAGTATGTTTTAAGTTGTAAAAAAAAATCCATAAACTTGACAATTTGGTACAGATATTTGAAGGGTAAAGAGGGTAAAGAGGAAAGAAAATCAATTTAAATTGTCTGAACAACAATAAAAGTAGTATCAATTTTTAAGATTCTCATAATACAATTTTATTTCTTTGTAAATAAGTTAATTAACAGTTGTTTTCTTAAACTATTGTTACAGTCAATTTAATAAAAAATTGCTAAGAGTCTATTATAATTCTCAAATTTTTTTAGGAAGACTAATTTTTTATTCCTGTAATGAAAAGAGAATTTCCTCTTTCCATTTGTGAATGGCAAATTCCATACTGAATCACAGCCACTTTAATAATGGCATATTAATCCATTTCAATTCTAACCTTCCTAATCTTGAATATGATTTCATCAGTTGATAAAAAAACATGGATAGATTATTTATTCAGAGTATTTATTTTTGAACCATTTGTCAGGTGTCGATGGCCGACTTGCCAGGATTGCTGGAGGGGGCGCACTTGAACCGGGGCATGGGCCACAGTTTCCTGCGCCACATCGAGCGGACCAAGCTGCTGGTGGTCGTGGTGGACGCCGAGGGCTTCCGCCTCAGTCCGATGCACCCTGAGCGCACCTGTCTGCAGACGGTGCTGCTCCTCGCCAGGGAGCTCGAGCTTTACGAGCCGACCCTGCTGGCCAAACCAGCCCTTCTCGTCATCAACAAGCTCGACCGGCCGGGCGCCCTTGAGGTCTTGGAGAATGTCCGTCAGCAGGTTGACCTTCAGGTCGCCGACCCAGAGGCCCTCCTCAGGGACGTCCCTGAGGAAATGAGGCCTAGCCAGCCTCTCATTTTCCGCCACGTGATAGGCCTGAGCGCCCACCAAGGCCCGGAGGCCGTCGGCCACCTCAAACAGCTCATTAAGGAAACCCTGGGCGAGCAGATCGCCCAACCTGACGAGGACGACTACCTGATTTCGGAGAAAAATAATTGATTCGATCATAGTTCAGTCCTGTTTAGAGATTGTGATTTGTTTTTATTGCAAAAAAGAGACTTTGGAAATTGTTTGTGTAGGTGGAGGCCGTGGAGGAGGACATCCGCAGGTGCCACCACCGCATCGAGACCATCGAACGCAACCTCAGGTCCAGACACCTTGAGATGGACAAAAGGTGCTTTTAATTATATTACTCGAAACTAGGTCCCTGCACATATTCGAATGAAAACTGAAATAAAATTTTTCTAATCATTTAAATTGATTTGTCGTCAGGGAGGAGTTGGAGAAGGAGCTGCAGAACGTCAAAGGTCTGCTGGGACAGCAGGAGGAGGACCTGAAGCGGCTGCGGAAGGAGAACAGCAAGACCTTCCTTGTTGCTTTTGCCCTCATGTTCTTGGCCTTCCTTGTCTTTGGCCTCTACAAAATGTTCTTCGATCAGCAGTGAGCCTAGTTTGGTGCTCCGTTGATTTCAAATTTGAAAACTGACATTCCAAAGACTCTGAGCTTTTTAATTTTGCAAATAAATATTATAGGAAAAAACATTGTTTTAAGCAAAGTTAGATAATCCTCTCATACAAGAAATGAATGTTGCTGGAGAGCAAAGTAGCATTTTGATGTTTAAATGAGAGATTTGACTAACAAACAAAGATTAACATCGCATGCAATGATTTGTTATTTTTATACAAAATATGCTTTGCTTTATTTAGTGCAATGATCATAACAAATTTAACTAAAAATGTGAAAGCAAAATTTATTAAAAATACGATTATAATTTATTTTGAGCAAAATCGCCAGGTGGCAATTTTTTTATTTTATTTTCACAGACTATTGAAAACGATGTTTCATAATCATGAGAAGATAGAAGGCGGATAGAAGGTTTTACAATTAGGGCGAAAATTTAAGACGCGGGGATGTCACAAGTTTGCACGTGGCTTCGCTGACACGGTACTTTCAAAAAGCAGTTCATTCGCTCCGATTGGCTGTTTGAAGGGGGCGTGGTCTTGTACCATAACATTTGCTTTGCATACAGACTACAGACGGACGTCGAACAGGAAGAGAAAAGTGCCGGCCTTTGGAAAAACCTGATTAGAAAAGGATCACCTGGGCCGACCTGGCGATGGAACGGACGACGGAAGGGACGGGCAAGTGTCCTTGATCGGCCTGCGAGCCTCTCCACAGCGGTACGTAGACGTGCATGTGTGTACTAGGAAAGTACCGTTTTAACTTTCTGAACAGCAGTGTGTGTGGCACATACGCCAGGGTGTCCGGGGGAAGTCAGGTCTCGACCGAGGTCAGTTGATTATTGATTCGACTTGGTACTTTGCAGGCGTGACACGTGAGTTTTCGGCGAGGGATGGCGATTTGAGAGACGAGAAGAGAGTCCAAGGAGAATAAATCCTGACCATGACGTCGCGACTGGACAGGCTGTTTGTGCTGCTCGAGAGCGGGTCTTCGGCGGCGACGAGGAAGGCGGCCGCCCAGCAGTTGGGCCAGGTGCAGCGGTTGCACCCGCACGACCTGCACCACCTGCTGGCCAGGATCTCCCTTTTGCTCAGGGCGCCCTCTTGGGACACTCGAATCGCCGCCGGACAGGCGGTCGAGGCCGTCGTCCGCAGCGTCCCGCCGTGGGACCCTCCTCCTGCCCAAATCAAAACAGGTCCTTCTCAACGTGATTTGTAATTTACAAAGGTATTAAATTTTTGTTTTGCAGAAGAGGAAGGTGAAGGGAGTGCGGAAGGAAGGCTGACCTTTGAGACCTTCGACCTAGAGAAGGTCATCATGGAGGGCAACCACCTGGTTGGTTCAGAGGGCAACGAGTTTGAACTGGACATGAAGGAGGAGGGTGCGGCTGAGAGACTGGCCAGTCAAAAGGCCGCTCTCAATGCCACACTCGGCCTCCCTGAAAATGCAGAGGTTGCCGAAGGGCTCATCACGGACGAAGACCTCATTCCCTCCTGTCCGCAGGAGAAAAACTGCAAAGTAATTGTTATAGTTATGCTTTTAAAATATAAATTGTTTCCATTTCATTATTAATTTTTTGAAGAAGAAAAAAACATCTAACTAAAGATAATAGTAAAATTTCTCATAATTTAACAAAATGCTTTGTTTAAATTGAAAAAAGAAACTATATTTTTAATTTAAAAAAATAAAAATATTTAAATTGTTGTCAATTTTTTTTTAATAAGTTAATTGTCAACTATTTTTACAGCAAAGTGCTCTGAACATTGCTCAAGGGGACGGTTTGAGTTCACGTGAAATGAACCGAGCCAAGCGGGTGGCACGTCTGGTGGCCAAGCAAAGGTCGAAGGAGACATCTGAGGACGCAGAAGCCCCTGAAAGCAAGCGGCCCAAGGTAGAGGTCAAGCAGGAGCAAGAGGAACACGACCTGAGCACAGCCGAGTGTCTGACCGAAGGAACTGCTCTCTGGGAAGAGGTAAATCCTTACAACCTTATGACCTTTTGACCTGACTTCTTGCCACTTTAAGCACGCCACTGGATGGCCCTTTGAGGAGTTCTGCGCACAGTTGGGCCAGGACCTGTTCAGTTCTGCGTGGGAGGTGCGGCACGGAGCGGCCACGGCCCTCAGGGAGGTGCTCAAGGTGCACGGTGCGGGCGCTGGCAAGGCGGCCGACATGACCTCTACTCGGGTAACACTGAATTGCCACTGCCAAAGAGGTTAATCACAGATGAATTTGCAGATGGCTGGTGCCCATGAGGCGTGGCTGGAGGACGTGGCCCTAAGGATTGTCTGTGTGTTGGCGCTCGACAGGTTTGGCGACTTTGTCTCCGACCAGGTTGTTGCTCCTGTCCGAGAAACATGTGCTCAAACATTAGGTAAGGAAAATAAGAAATATTTTTCTTGCGGTTTATTCCTCCAGCTAGATAGATTTGAGAAAAATTTTCTGAACTTATAAGAATCTTATTTTTTTTTTTGTAACTGACAAAAAAATCTGTATGGTTTTCTAGGTGTATTGGCGTGCCTGATGAGTTCAGAGGCTGTGCAGAAGGTGGTGGCGACGGTGCTGCGTCTGTTGTCTCGACCTGAGTGGGAGGCTCGGCACGGCGGACTGCTTGGCCTCAAGTACCTGCTGGCGGTCAAGGGTGGTGCGGGCGGCGGCCCTGACAACGACTTCAAAGGTGAGAAGGGCGAGGCCACGTTTTTGAAGCTCGACCTGAAGCTGATTGCAGACTGCGGCCTCGTCGGCTTTCCCAACACCGGCAAGTCGACCCTGCTGAGGGCCGTGTCCAGAGCCAAGCCCAAGGTCGCCGCCTACCCTTTCACCACAGTGAGACCTGAAATCGGCTTCATCGAGTACCCCGACAAGACAAAAGTATGTGTTAAGTTGTAAAAAAAATTAATAAACTTGACAATTTGGTACAGATATTTGAAGGGTAAAGAGGGTAAAGAGGAAAGAAAATCAATTTAAATTGTCTGAACAACAATAAATATGTGCGGTAAGTGAGTTAGTTGGTCAAATTTAACTAAAAATGTGAAAGCAAAATTTATTAAAAATACGTCTATAATTTATTTTGTGCAAAATCGTCAGGTGGCAATTTTTTTGTTTTAATGCTTGAAAACGCCAAAATGTATCTCAGCGGATGCCAGAACTTGAATTAATAAAGTGAAAAGCCAAGATTTTGAATTTTTAGTTTAATTATAATTCTAATAGTTCGTATCAAAATCACGAAAAATTACGATTTTACTTAATTTGGAGCGAAATCGGCAGGACGCTAAATTCTGAATTCTTCGTCACTGAGCGCTGAAAGTTCCGATGGAGATGAAACTTTAGCCATAATTTAAATTGTTTGTTAAATATGTGCGGTATGTGGGTTAGTTGGTCAAATTTAACTAAAAATGTGAAAGCAAAATTTATTAAAAATACGTCTATAATTTATTTTGTGCAAAATCGTCAGGTGGCAATTTTTTGATTTTAATGCTCACAGAGTATTGAAAACGCCAAAATGTATCTCAGCGGATGCCAGAACTTGAATTCATAAAGTGAAAAGCCAAGATTTTGAATTTTTAGTTTAATTATAATTCTAATAGTTCGCGTCAAAATCACGAAAAATTACGATTTTACTTATTTTGGAGCGAAATCGGCGGGACGCTAAATTCTGAATTCTTCGTCACTGAGCGCTGAAAGTTCCGATGGAGATGAAACTTTAGCCATAATCTAAATTATTTGTTAAATATGTGCGGTATGTGGGTTAGTTGGTCAAATTTAACTAAAAATGTGAAAGCAAAATTTATTAAAAATACGTCTATAATTTATTTTGTGCAAAATCTTCAGGTGGCAATTTTTTTATTTTAATGCTTGAAAACGCCAAAATGTATCTCAGCGGATGCCAGAACTTGAATTCATAAAGTGAAAAGCCAAGATTTTGAATTTTTAGTTTAATTATAATCCTAATAGTTCGCGTCAAAATCACGAAAAATTACGATTTTACTTAATTTGGAGCGAAATCGGCCGGACGCTAAATTCTGAATTCTTCGTCACTGAGCGCTGAAAGTTCCGATGGAGATGAAACTTTAGCCATAATCTAAATTATTTGTTAAATATGTGCGGTATATGGGTTAGTTGGTCAAATTTAACTAAAAATGTGAAAGCAAAATTTATTAAAAATACGTCTATAATTTATTTTGTGCAAAATCTTCAGGTGGCAATTTTTTTATTTTAATGCTTGAAAACGCCAAAATGTATCTCAGCGGATGCCAGAACTTGAATTCATAAAGTGAAAAGCCAAGATTTTGAATTTTTAGTTTAATTATAATTCTAATAGTTCGCGTCAAAATCACGAAAAATTACGATTTTACTTAATTTGGAGCGAAATCGGCGGGACGCTAAATTCTGAATTCTTCGTCACTGAGCGCTGAAAGTTCCGATGGAGATGAAACTTTAGCCATAATCTAAATTATTTGTTAAATATGTGCGGTAAGTGAGTTAGTTGGTCAAATTTAACTAAAAATGTGAAAGCAAAATTTATTAAAAATACGTCTATAAATTATTTTGTGCAAAATCTTCAGGTGGCAATTTTTTTATTTTAATGCTTGAAAACGCCAAAATGTATCTCAGCGGATGCCAAAACATGAATTCATAAAGTGTAAAGCGAAGATTTTGAATTTTTATTTTAATTATTATCCTAATAGTTCGCGTCAAAATCACGAAAAATTACGATTTTACTTAATTTGGAGCGAAATCGGCAGGACGCTAAATTCTGAATTTTTCGTCACTGAGCGCTGAAAGTTCCGATGGAGATGAAACTTTAGCCATAATTTAAATTATTTGTTAAATATGTGCGGTAAGTGAGTTAGTTGGTCAAATTTAACTAAAAATGTGAAAGCAAAATTTATTAAAAATACGTCTATAAATTATTTTGTGCAAAATCTTCAGGTGGCAATTTTTTTATTTTAATGCTTGAAAACGCCAAAATGTATCTCAGCGGATGCCAGAACTTGAATTCATAAAGTGAAAAGCCAAGATTTTGAATTTTTAGTTTAATTATAATCCTAATAGTTCGCGTCAAAATCACGAAAAATTACGATTTTACTTAATTTGGAGCGAAATCGGCGGGACGCTAAATTCTGAATTCTTCGTCACTGAGCGCTGAAAGTTCCGATGGAGATGAAACTTTAGCCATAATTTAAATTATTTGTTAAATATGTGCGGTATGTGGGTTAGTTGGTCAAATTTAACTAAAAATGTGAAAGCAAAATTTATTAAAAATACGTCTATAATTTATTTTGTGCAAAATCTTCAGGTGGCATTTTTTTTATTTTAATGCTTGAAAACGCCAAAATGTATCTCAGCGGATGCCAGAACTTGAATTCATAAAGTGAAAAGCCAAGATTTTGAATTTTTAGTTTAATTATAATCCTAATAGTTCGCGTCAAAATCACGAAAAATTACGATTTTACTTAATTTGGAGCGAAATCGGCGGGACGCTAAATTCTGAATTCTTCGTCACTGAGCGCTGAAAGTTCCGATGGAGATGAAACTTTAGCCATAATCTAAATTATTTGTTAAATATGTGCGGTATGTGGGTTAGTTGGTCAAATTTAACTAAAAATGTGAAAGCAAAATTTATTAAAAATACGTCTATAAATTATTTTGTGCAAAATCTTCAGGTGGCAATTTTTTTATTTTAATGCTTGAAAACGCCAAAATGTATCTCAGCGGATGCCAGAACTTGTATTCATAAAGTGAAAAGCCAAGATTTTGAATTTTTAGTTTAATTATAACCCTAATAGTTCGCGTCAAAATCACGAAAAATTACGATTTTACTTAATTTGGAGCAAAATCGGCGGGACGCTAAATTCTGAATTCTTCGTCACTGAGCGCTGAAAGTTCCGATGGAGATGAAACTTTAGCCATAATCTAAATTATTTGTTAAATATGTGCGGTATGTGGGTTAGTTGGTCAAATTTAACTAAAAATGTGAAAGCAAAATTTATTAAAAATACGTCTATAAATTATTTTGTGCAAAATCTTCAGGTGGCAATTTTTTTATTTTAATGCTTGAAAACGCCAAAATGTATCTCAGCGGATGCCAGAACTTGTATTCATAAAGTGAAAAGCCAAGATTTTGAATTTTTAGTTTAATTATAACCCTAATAGTTCGCGTCAAAATCACGAAAAATTACGATTTTACTTAATTTGGAGCGAAATCGGCGGGACGCTAAATTCTGAATTCTTCGTCACTGAGCGCTGAAAGTTCCGATGGAGATGAAACTTTAGCCATAATTTAAATTATTTGTTAAATATGTGCGGTATGTGGGTTAGTTGGTCAAATTTAACTAAAAATGTGAAAGCAAAATTTATTAAAAATACGTCTATAATTTATTTTGTGCAAAATCTTCAGGTGGCAATTTTTTTATTTTAATGCTTGAAAACGCCAAAATGTATCTCAGCGGATGCCAGAACTTGAATTCATAAAGTGAAAAGCCAAGATTTTGAATTTTTAGTTTAATTATAATTCTAATAGTTCGCGTCAAAATCACGAAAAATTACGATTTTACTTAATTTGGAGCGAAATCGGCGGGACGCTAAATTCTGAATTCTTCGTCACTGAGCGCTGAAAGTTCCGATGGAGATGAAACTTTAGCCATAATTTAAATTATTTGTTAAATATGTGCGGTAAGTGAGTTAGTTGGTCAAATTTAACTAAAAATGTGAAAGCAAAATTTATTAAAAATACGTCTATAAATTATTTTGTGCAAAATCTTCAGGTGGCAATTTTTTTATTTTAATGCTTGAAAACGCCAAAATGTATCTCAGCGGATGCCAGAACTTGTATTCATAAAGTGAAAAGCCAAGATTTTGAATTTTTAGTTTAATTATAACCCTAATAGTTCGCGTCAAAATCACGAAAAATTACGATTTTACTTAATTTGGAGCAAAATCGGCGGGACGCTAAATTCTGAATTCTTCGTCACTGAGCGCTGAAAGTTCCGATGGAGATGAAACTTTAGCCATAATCTAAATTATTTGTTAAATATGTGCGGTATGTGGGTTAGTTGGTCAAATTTAACTAAAAATGTGAAAGCAAAATTTATTAAAAATACGTCTATAAATTATTTTGTGCAAAATCTTCAGGTGGCAATTTTTTGATTTTAATGCTCACAGAGTATTGAAAACGCCAAAATGTATCTCAGCGGATGCCAGAACTTGAATTCATAAAGTGAAAAGCCAAGATTTTGAATTTTTAGTTTAATTATAATTCTAATAGTTCGCGTCAAAATCACGAAAAATTACGATTTTACTTAATTTGGAGCGAAATCGGCGGGACGCTAAATTCTGAATTCTTCGTCACTGAGCGCTGAAAGTTCCGATGGAGATGAAACTTTAGCCATAATTTAAATTATTTGTTAAATATGTGCGGTATGTGGGTTAGTTGGTCAAATTTAACTAAAAATGTGAAAGCAAAATTTATTAAAAATACGTCTATAATTTATTTTGTGCAAAATCTTCAGGTGGCAATTTTTTTATTTTAATGCTTGAAAACGCCAAAATGTATCTCAGCGGATGCCAGAACTTGAATTCATAAAGTGAAAAGCCAAGATTTTGAATTTTTAGTTTAATTATAATTCTAATAGTTCGCGTCAAAATCACGAAAAATTACGATTTTACTTAATTTGGAGCGAAATCGGCGGGACGCTAAATTCTGAATTCTTCGTCACTGAGCGCTGAAAGTTCCGATGGAGATGAAACTTTAGCCATAATTTAAATTATTTGTTAAATATGTGCGGTAAGTGAGTTAGTTGGTCAAATTTAACTAAAAATGTGAAAGCAAAATTTATTAAAAATACGTCTATAAATTATTTTGTGCAAAA